CTACTAGAAGCAAGGACGCTACTAGGGGCTCCTGGCCTTACTACTAGAAGCGATCTCCGGTGAGAAGAGTTGGCTATCAGTCAGCACTACGAATCACAGGTGGTCAGCACTCCCTTTGACGACCTGATGTGAGTATCCCACATGTTCGCCAGTCGGGAGCACCCAGAATCTTCCGCCGTGCGGCAGTGTCAAAAGCCCTTGCAACGCCCTCATTCTCATAGACGTTCCTGTGGCACCGACAAAAGTTCTGCTTCTGCGAAGCGCTTGCCGCCTTCCAGTCTGGTACTGCCTTATGGTCTGTGTCTTCCAACGATCTCCCATCAAACTGGGTGTTGTATGTGACTCTCACAATTCAATATGGAGATCCCCTCACCATATCCATTGAACTGGGACCCAAGTGCACTAAAGCATCTTAAAGCCATCTAAAGCCCATTGCTCGGTGGATCCCTGATGTTCGCCCACTCAACCCCCACTCCGCGCCTGTCCAACCAAGTGAAACGAAACCCTCTCAGTCTCAGATGAGGGGGGCTGGAAGTGCTTGGCTCAGTCCAAGAGGCTCCAGATAGCAGGCATAGAAGAAGGCCAAGAAGGCCATGGCACAGGCCTGAGAGCCGTTCCTTCGGCCGGAACCCGGTCCGGCAATTAGAGCGGAGGCCGGGTCTGGGGTTAGCCGGTCCTAGAGTGATTTGGATCAGACAAACAACAAACTAGAACAGACACGTAACAGGATAACGTTCTATTGTAACAAGTTTCTTTGAGGTTGGACAGGAACCCAAATCCAAGTCGTCCTTAATGTCTACTTCGCCGAAACTGTGGCGGGCTGAAGGGTTGCTTCAGAGGCCCTCATCAAGGTCTAGCCTTTGATGGCCTTGCTGATTCGCCGTCTCCATTTGCTTCTAAGGCACCACAGCCAGGCAGGCCATGACAGTGGTCTTGTAGAAGCGCGCGAGGTCACGGACCTCAGGGGTGGATGGAAGGTCGACCGAAGGGCCGTGGTAGCCGGATCTGTGTGGCCTTGTTGGCGCCCTGCCGAGTTCTCTCGCCAAAGCAAACCTCCGAAGCAAACCTCGTCGCTGCCCGGAACCCCCGCAACCCGGCTGGGTCCGCCCCGCGAGGTGATTCATCAGGAGCCCGGTGGCGAGTACATATCGCTCGAGGGAGCCCAGTTCCTCCTAGCCACGGAGCACGGAGAACGCTCCGAGCCGTGGGAACTCCGAACTTCTCTCCACCTCAAATGATGAAAAAAGGTCGGTGACCGTCGGTGGGTTTCAGAAATGTTGACTGGAAGTTGTCCAACTAAGGCTAAGGGGCTAAGGATTCTAGTTTGAGTTCTTTTGGGAGGTGGTTCTGAGGGTTTGTTTGGCTTGTTGCGCTTGGCTTTCAGGGCGCCTGGTCTATGTAAAGATCCTTCGTTTCTCAGTCACAATGCAAGCCCTGTCTGAGGTTTTGGGTGTGGAGAGTGACCCTCGCACCTGCGGACTTGCAATATGAAACATCTATCGCCCTCCTAACTAAGGTCTTCCTCCAGACCTGAGATCGGAATCGGCACCTTCATGTAGATAAGGAACCTCGAAAAATGTAGCAATGGTATCAATTGATTGCCCTAGTCGTTTTTTGAAATACTTGTGTTCTACTTGTACTTGAGGGGCACTCTACTTCCCCAAAGGCTTGCTGGCTTCCATTGGTTGCAGCACCATCCCAGTCTCATTGAAGATATCTTGCTGAAACACAGTGCGTTGACACCAAAACCAATGTTCCTCCTCCGTTGAATTTAACTAATCACCATCCCCAAAGCTGCTACAAGTAACCCACCTCCACCAATTCACTATCGCCAGGACCAAGACCGTTGATTTGACCAACCGTTGATTTGACCAACCGGTCCACGCTTCGAAACCCCTAAACACATCCATTCCCGCTTCTCCTTTCGACCCCGAAGACAGCGACGCGAGACAGCGATGCGCCGACGCGCGAGGACCCGCGTTCCCGGACCGACTCGCTCAGGAGGAGCCAAGACATTCGACCGCGGTGACGCCAGAGCCCATCCGATCAGGATGAGGCCACCCATCCTTCAAGTCCCCTGCCATCAGCTTGAGGCCACCCACCGCCTCGGCACCGGTGTCACGGTGTCAGCCGAAGCCCGGGTTCCGGGGGAACGGGTTCCGGTGACCTGTCCAGAGTGGGAACCGGGAGATCTGCCACACCTCTGCAATGTGCTGCTGAATACATCACGGTTCTGTTAGGGAAATGCCATAGCATTAGGTACTTGGGACTTAAACATGCCACAAGCATGCCCACCTGACAAACATATTTGCACACATGAAGAGCCTGGCCCGCTCGCATGTATTTCACAATGTATGCTTTGACCTGGTGGATCCTGCGACTCTGACCCTGCTCCGCGGAAATGTTCCAAACTCCTTGCAAAAGTGAAAAAGTCAATCTTCTTCAACCCACGGACATAGAGGTCAGAGGTGGGATCAGAAGCGGTCTTTCAGGGCCCCCTGGCCATTTCGAAGGCGCCCGCAGCTTCACTCGATGCCAAGGCCAAATCTTTGGATGCCTGGCCACGCCGAGTGGATCTCGGTATGGATTTGCCAAAAATGACCGGGGGCGGGCCCTGCGGGGGCCGGTTGGGTCATAGGTCCTGAAAATCCCATGGCAAAAAACAAAAGTAGGTTGAGCATGTCAGTCATCCCAGGTCCTTCCATTTTGAGCACAGGGCCATCTTGTTGCGACTGACTCCCACCTCATGTGCTTGATCCACCTTCGCCACCAAAGCCTGGCTCATTGGCAGCTGACGATGGTGAAACTTAGGCTCTGCAACAACCCTCCAACATTCCCACAACCATGTCAGGTCATAGAAATTCACATCCCCAGTTGATGACAAGCCAACAAGCCTTCTTGCTTGAGGCTAGCTCTAAAAAAAAGAAAACTGGGGTGCCGAGTCAACAATTCTGCCAAGGCACAGTCCTCTCCTTGGCGACCATGGTTTTCAAATCCTTCACCAGATCCAGCTGAAGAAGTTTCTCCATGTATTCCTCATGTTTCGAGCAATTGGGCAGGATGGAGATGGCTGGCATCTGATTGATAGTTTCCAGATTGGAATTCTGTTGGCGTGAACTCTTCCTCTTGCGATGGATTCCATTCTTGGCCTTCGCCAAACACACTAGACCAAGATCTACCAAAGCATCACTACAGGAAGGCGGATGTTGTTCGTCACTCCCAAAAGCCGTTGGCAGATTTGGCGCCAATGGAACACCGCAACTCTTAGGACTGGGGTCTTGGGGACTCTTCGAGGAATTTCTGAAGAACACAAAACCGTAGGCGCCACAGTCCCCCGGAAGTGCTTGGTCCGGAAGCCTGGCACCATGCGAATCCGAGGACTCGTGCCTGTCCAGTCCAAGGTGCTGAAGATAAGAAAGTACTGATGTTGCTCAGCGAATCCAAATCACTCTCCAGGCTACCAGCATTCTTCCGCGCCTGGCTGGGTCATCTGCGATGGAGAAGTGCTCTCCGTTTGAAGAGAGGTGACTGTGGGGCCTGTAATGGAGCGAAATGAGTGTTTACGTGAGTCATGATGGTCAAGGGCGCTTTCACCGAAAATCCTCTGCGCCAAATCGCAGGCCAGCAACAGCGATGTTGAAACTCATAAATAGTGTTTTGGTGATCAAGCTGCGTAAGCACACTTCTTGTCGGGGGTTGATAGTTGAGTACCAGACTTGCACATATACCTGGATCCTCCTTTGGGCGGAAAAAGTGCCGGACCTCAATCCGGCAAAATTTTCCGCCGGATTCCGAAAGAAAAACGCCGGAGACCTGAAAAAACATCCGGATCCAAGATTCTGAAAAACAGAGATGATAAAACGTTGGATAATACACAAGGAAACTTTAAGGTTGGATCATACACAGGGAAATTGTTTTTGCGCCGCGAGTAGTTTTTCTGGGGCACACTCGAATCTTCCCGTTCCCATTGCCCTCGCCCATCTTCCGAATGGCCTAAGAGCAGAACCATCACAAAATATAAGCAACTTGTGTCCAAGCAAAGACTTCCAAGAAGAAGCCAAGGAGCATGTGGCAATGAACTCATCTTTCTCTGCAACCGTGTCTCTAAAGTGTTTTTTTGCAAAGTGGGTTGCTCTCCATGATTCTTATGCTTCTTAATGTTTCTTTAAAGCTTGCCTCAGGACGGCCCCCCCAATAAAGTAGGAGAACTCATGGCTCCTGTCAAAACTCTTCTTTTAAAAAAACTTCTCAAAGTCAAAGCCTGCAGAAGACTCAGTCCAAAAAAAATACGTCGGAGTTACGGGAAATTACGCCGGAGTTACGGGAAATTACGCCGGAGTTACGACGTGCCATTTTTTGACAACTCTGCAAAACATTGGGATTCTGAACAACACATGTTCCACAGCCCAAAACTTGTCCGGCAGGCTCTGCAAACCTGCGCAGCTAGAACTATATCCCAGCGCCCCGACATCCTGAAACAATGGGAGTACATTTTTGCCTATGCTCTTTCAGCTTAGGTACGCCCACTTGGGTCTTTCAACAGGTGCATCGCACTGTACCGGCTTCATCCGATTTCATTTAGAAGATCACCTAAACGGATCTGATTGATCCAGTGTGAACCGTGCTGAAACCGGTGGCATGAGAAAACAACAGAACAGGCAAACGAGCACACTTTGCAAACAAAATCATTGCATCAGTAGTGGGTTTACCTTCAAAGAAATGCAGACCACAAAGAATGCAAAGCCTTGAGAATCCACATAAAGTGACTTGGAAAAAGCGCCGGACCAAATCCAGAAAAACGCCGGAGTTGGAAGTCCGGCGCCGGACCCTGTAAAAGTGCCGGACTGAAGATCTAGGTATATGTATAATATACCATCTTCAACAGGGAGTCGTGGACTAGCCCACGCGGTGATCGAAAGATCGGAAGGGCAACAAAAAAAACACAGCACAGCCCTACTCTAGTGGTCGACGACAATCCTGTTGACATCTTACACATGCCTTGATACCCTGCAGAAAGTGTGAAACTTTTGAGGGCTGAGAAGGTCAAAAGGTTGACTTCCAAAGGGTCCTCACAGCATATAGTGGGAAGTTTGAAGTCAGACCCAAAGTTCCGGAGTGGTCGTCTAGACACATCTCTTCATGAACAGATGGGGCACTGGTCAAGCCCCTCCGTGATCTTTCGTCACTCACAAGGGATCTGAGCATTGCAGCTGTGCAAGTCCCTGTGTGGTGTTTGTCCAAACCAATGCCCAAATGAACACTGGCTGCCACCCACGGAAGGGGAGGACAGTGTCCTAAAACGATCTAACTTGGGTATATCCTATTAGCAGTAACAATGGGTGATGATCATTGGTAAAGGCCTTTCTTTAAAATTGTGATAATTGTTCACTGACTGTTACAGGCAATTGGACGGGCCCGTGTCCTAAAATGATCTAACATTGCAGACCTGGATCCTCGGTGGCCCGGCCATGTCACGGTAGGAGCCCACCAAACTAGCATCATCCTCGGTGTCATCGGTGGAGCGTTGGGCGGCCAACGCTAAGCCCATGAGTCTTCAGGGAGGATACGTGCATAGTAGATCATAGTAGCATAGATCCTGAGGAGAGAAAAATAGGATGGCACATGTCTGGTCCTGGACCAATCCAAAGCAGGACCAATCCAAAGCAGGTCTGTGAGCGGTCAAGCTTTTCGTTGGACTTCGCAAAACCAGGGGTGCTGCCGGGCGATTCGAGGCCGCCCAAAAGCATGCTTTCCTCGAAACTGCTTTGGGGGGAGAAATCTCCACTCTTCGTCTGGAAAACTCTGGAATCGAAAACCATCTTCCCACCGAATCTCGCACCGCACCTCCTCGCCGCGAGGCCACGAGGCCGTCGACTGGTTTTTGGCCCAGGCTCCATGATCGATACATTCTCAATGAATCCAAGACAGTAAGTCTCCAGCTCCTTCTCCGAATGCCCCATAGATGAAAGAACACCTGTTCGGCCAGTTGATTGGTGAGAAGAAACACAGGTTAATTACGATCACCAAGCAGAACTGGAAGACTTCGTAGCTGGAAGATGAGCACTTCGTAGCCCAATCAACAAAACAGCGACGTCAAAGGGACTCAAGTGTCACAAGTGCCCTTTGGTCCGGCAAAATGCTACTGACGGAGTGAATGGAGCGGTACCAACAGGCTCTATCCTCTCCCCTTCCCTGCTTTACTACCTACCCCACCATTTCTCACATGAACCACCTGCGGAAACCTTAGGATTATCACCTGACTTGTCTTTCTGCAACCCTGGAGCTTATGGCTGGGACATATTTTTCCTCGGGTAAAGTCCCCTTCCTCTCAAACAGGTGCTCTCGATGAGTTTGTATGTGGAACATCACCGAAACTGAGACAAGGAAACATTCATCGTCCCTTGATGTCTTCAGTGACAAATCAAAATAGGACACCAGGTGCTAATTTGCTTCACCTCAAGTTTGTGTCTACCTGGCCTTATTGGCCTATTTCCTCTGTCTTCCTCACTCTCCCTCCTAAAAGATTTCAAAGTTCCCAAACCAGCCAAGCGACTCTCAATCTTTGCAAAGCCCTGCTGGATCAAAGTGATACTGCGCATGCTGCTGTGGAGACTCCTTGCAGCCACCTACCGGAGCCCAACGGCCGATGCAAAGAGACGAGCACGACGCGACCGTGTGCCCCGGGAACCGGGGGGGTTCTGGGTTGAAGGGTTCTGAAAAGAGGGTTTGAAGACCAGGTGCTGCATGATGTTTTTGGACCATGTAGACTGTACCGCCGTTTTTAGGCGGAAAGGAGCTTCTGAGGATCGCGCCACCTCTCAGATTCAATTGATATTCTTCCTCCCACGTCGTCTGCTGCCAGCTTCTCGCCCAGCAACGTGTTTGCAACAATACATTCAATCGTTTGGCATGCATCACAAAGTCACAAAGTGTGCCTGAGGTTCGGAACAGACTCTTCTGCAGCTTTGCGTGTCGTGCAGATGAACCGTCTCCAAGAATCATGTCCAAAAATGTCCAAAATACTTGGGCCGCCAGGGGGTCGCCCTTCGTTGATCTGCTGCTTTCGCTCCCTATTTATCATACCTCGAGACAATTCACCATCCACTGGAGCAGCCACCATGGCTGACCTACGATGTCAGATGAGGTTGAACTGACCAGATAGTACCCCCACCCTGGAGAATAGGCAGTGTTCATTTTCCTGGTGAAGTACTGTTTGGTGAAGAATCTTCCTGTGAATGTACTGGCGGTGAAAAAAGGAGCCGGGCCACTGCAAACAAAAAGAGACAAAGCCCCGGAACCCAAATGTTGACGTCTTTGGATCAGCTTTTTGTTCGATGCGTTCGACCAGAATGAAGGCTCATTTGGTCTATCTCGTCGAAGAACCCTGCCCTGTGCGACATCCTGGTAGGACATCCTTGGGAGACACTCTTGGGAAACGCTCTTGTGGCTCACACGAAAGTTGTGAGCACTCTGGCGCCACATCACAAAGCCAGCTCGCCACAGCACGTCACATGACTTCACACCACAAATCATCCACTGGTCACCTGACACACCAAAAACCATATCCTCACCCATACTCCCCCATTCACCCATCATCATCGACTGGTCCATGACTCCCCCATACTCACCCCAAAAACCACACCCAACGTCGCGGTCTGACCGCCGCGAACCGCACCACGAACGCACCACGAAAGGTGACCTTCTCGGCCAACGAACCATCCGGCACAGCGCACGGAAGCACCGAATCCACCCAATCAGGACACACCCTCACGATGTGTTCATTGCCCGCACATGTCCGAACGGATGTTCATGCTCCAACGGGCAAAACATGCACCTGATGTCCTGGCCTCCGGGCGAAGACACATCATGCGGGGTCACCATGTGTAATGACCGATCCCACGGCGATGGATCAGACCGGTTTGAACCGCTCCCAGCGCTCCCCAAAAGAATCCATGAAACCGGCCTTCGGAGAGATTGACAGCAGCTGAATTCGAAAGCTGAGACACATTGATGATGAATGTTTCATGTCATATAGTGTTTAATTCTTGCTGTAAGTTCGATGCTTGCTTACTTTTACTCGTCGAATTGAAAAAAAAAGGGGGTACCAGCTCCGCCGCCTGATGTCGGGGCACCAGCTCCGCCAAGGGTGTCAGCACGAACCTGGTTCTTGGGTCCGGCAGGTGGACTGCAACGGTGATGGAAGAACGATCCGTTTGGGTTCATCGGTGGACTGCCATGAGGCCCCCGGGAATTCCGGAAAGACAAAACAACTGCCACAACAACCACTGCCAAATCATATCTACGAGTCTACGGCCAAAAACCCTAGAACCCAAAAAAACCCTAGAACCCAAAAGTCTCTGCTTCTGTAGAAGACCCCAAAACTTCAAAAGAAGCCATGTGGTTCCCAGAGCGAGGTAACTCCACCACAAACAGGCCGAGAGGTAAGGGAACAGAGACCGCAGAAACACTAGCCTGGATCTGCCGGAAAAAAAGCGGAAAAAACGACTTCCCCTCAGCCATAAAGAACCTCCTTCGTTGCCCCAGTGGCTGCCCTCGTTTCTGCCCAAGTGGCAGAATGTTGCTGAGGAGGTTCACAAACTCTTCTGGCTGCTGCTCGAAGCCATAGGACTTGAGTCCTCGAAGCGTCCAAAATCCCAAACCCCCAAAAGATCCTTCAAAGCATCGAACGACCCTGGAATCCGTACCTGAACTTTCCAGCAGATGCTTTCGGACACCCTACAACCCGGTTCCTCTTGGTTGATCAAAGGCTCTCACACGTCCGCTTCTGTGGGGTCTTGAGGGTCGAATTTGAGATCTTCGCTCATGGACCGAGGGAAGGGGTCCATGTCTGGGAAGAAAGTGGATGAAAGCAACTTGAGCCTCCCAAATCCTAGTGAATCTGAACCACTTGTTGGGAGATCCGGGGATCTGGAGAGAGTGGTATTTCAACTGGGGTGTTTCACCATGTATATGTATTGTTTCGTTATGGCTCTCGTGACTACATAAATATATACGTTTATCTCTTTCTTGGTCAAAAGCGTCGTTCTTCTTGGATGTGTTCAAAGGAGTGTGCGTTCGATAGCTGTTGTCCATGTTTATTCATTGTCCATTGTACCAGTGGTGTCTTGAAAACGGACCTTCAACACAGGCAAGTCGCCAGTCGCCATCCATTTATGCATATATATACATAGTGTAATAGTTATATATGTACCCTGGAAGTCAAAGACCGTTTTACAAATGGTTGATCTGGTTTTGTAGTGTAAAACCCAACGAAGAAACAATGGTGCTTCGACTTCTAGGGCCTAGGGTTGATAACTATTATTGTTATTGTAATGACGATAAAATAACGCACCCAGTTCGGGATCCACCGACGACTACGGCTCCCTATCTGGGGAAGATGATGGAGAATGGAGACCTTTTGCTCCGCTCCCTGGAAAACCATGTGCAGTTGGTCAGATCCTGCGTAGATCCTGGGAGTCTGCAGTGGTTTCTGCTGGTGTTCCGGGTTCAAAGACGGTCAACCCTTGGGCCTTTCACCTCAGAGCCGGGCCTGCACGGATGATGCTGACGCGCTCTGCCTGGACAGCTGCCAGTCGGGTGCCGGACGCACCCAACTTGCCGCTCAGTGATGCTTTTGGGGTGTTTTCTTCATGAAGAAATGAAGCAAAAAGCGACTGAGTTTGGTCTGTACCATGGGGTCTGATAGGGGTGATTGTGCTTGTTTTTGAGTGTAGACCCCCCCCGCAGGACAAAGCAGAACCCTTCCGGCGACGCTATCTTGTAAAACCTCGCAAGCACGTGGCTCCGAGCAGCAATTCCCCCACGAATGACGAAAGACTGTCGATGGCAAGTTTGTCTCTACCACACCTACCGACTTACACCTTTCACCCATGTTCATGCTGGATTGTTGTTTGTTCATTTTTTTTTTCAGCTGGTCGTTGCCTGCAGGTCTTGAAACCCAGTGAACCAAAACGGAACAGAACGGTGCACCGTCCATGTCTCACCCAGCCATCCATGTCTTCACCGGGCACGGCAGCACGGCGGCTGCGCCCGAACACACGCGCAGACTCGACCGGAAAACCCATGCCGACTGGACCTGCGCGAACAAGATCTTCTGTGCGCGCACGTACTCGGCCATACCTAGGCCGCTGACCAGAAGGGAAGGGCGGTGCAGACTTGCTGCCATCTAGGGGACCACTGATGGCAAGAAGAAATCGAGTCTTTGGATCCAGAAGGCCCCGAGGTGTCTCCATCGATTATTCCGACCGCTGATGCCGTTCCCACGCCGGCGCCGGACTCCGATAGGGCTGGGACTCCCAGCCGTCGGGCTTCTCATCGCTCAAGGCGCCTTTCAACTTGCCGGTCTCCTGGTCACGGGTCCAGTTGCGCACCGGCCGCGGTGGCGCGTTAACCCCCCCCCGCACGCGCGGTTGCGTGCAAAGGCACCTGGGAGCCAGGCGCAAGGAATTCGTTTTGATTTGGAGTTACCAGGCGCCAAGGAGGGGTCATAGCAGAACAATCAGTCCGTGCGCCACTGACTTGTAGGTCTGATATGGTCCGATGCAACTACTCCAAAAGGTCTCTGATTCCATGCCCATCTGCAGCACCTGCAGAGAAGAAACAGCCCATCTGCCCCTCTGTCCGCAAGACCCACATTCATGAGCAGGCTGATGTGCCCCGACCAACAGTGAGCCAGAGGCATCTGGGTGTGACTGGAGTGACGGAAGGTATCACCACCAATCCAAATGGCCATCAACATCGGAAAAGGCATGGAAAAACATGGAAAAGCACCTGGTTCTCTGGGTAAAGCATGGACAAAACACATGGAAAACGCATGGAAATGGCTCCCTGGGTGCTTCCTTTTGAGTCACCTCCAGGTCTCCCGCCACACTTCATCGCTTCGGACCTGAACTGCTAGGCTCATCTCTTCCCGCAGAAGGCCCAATCCTTGGAGCGAGCACGGGGGTGGCAACGAGCGCACCAGCTCGGTAGTGGCAGGAGGTGGCAGGGAACCAAAAAAAACACACAGTAGTATGAACCATATTGACCCGGCCCATGCTTGATATGTTCGAAGATTTGGATGTCCATGAGAACCTTCTTAGCATCCAGGACGTTGGAATGATGTTAAACATCATCAATGCATGTCTTCGATTGGTGCCCTGGAATGTCTTTGGACTTTGACTTCAGAAAGAGCTCTGCCATTGCCTGCTTCAAGTGGGTGCCCTTACCGCACCAGCACAGCTCGAACTCATCAAGCTGCTAACCGCCGACCCTCTTTACAGATCTTTTCAAGCTGACGGCGTCGTAGGAGGCTGTGTAGGGTTTAGGGTTTAGGTTGTTTAGGCTGTTTAAGGTTTAGGCTGTTCATCTCTGTTCAGGCTGTTTAGCTTTAGGCCGTTTGATACCCAGGCAACCAGGTGGATTTAGGCCGTTGGTTCGTGTGTTTTGGCCCACCCAGTAGGTGAAATCACCCGGTGTCTGGCTGACTGACTGACTGACTGCGACCAAGATGCCGCTGCTCATCTTGGCAGAGTTCTCGGGCGGTTTCAGGGGCGGTTTCAGGGACGGTTGGAAGACCCAAGAAACACTAGTGATGGACTCAGGGTCGAATCCCATGTTCTCCAGAACTATTGTTGACTTCTTCTTGGTGGTGGTGGTGGTGGTTAGTGGCCTGGGTGATTGTGTGACATGTCGTTTTTTTGACTTGCAACCAGATGAACAAATGGGCAGATGGGCCATCTCGCAGACCCCTGAGATGGCCACATGTTCAGAGACTGCCCCTCGCAGAGTCACAGGGCCTAAGCCTCACCTAGATCAATGTCACACTAGTTTATATACACCCCCAAATAGATCCCCACTAAACATGCATTGGAAACAGTTTCTATTTGGGGATCACGTCATGACTATTAACACATCTTCATGCAGCTTTCGCAAAAGCTGGACTCGTTGTACATACCAAGAAACTCGTTGGACTCGTTGTGCAGACCGACGTCCCAAACCCTGCTACATGCTTGATCTATATATCTATACATATATATATACAACCAGAACCCTGAAAACACCATGGTTGTTGGTTTGGTTGTTTTGGTTGTTGGTTTGGTTGTTCAGGGTTCTTGTTGGTTTCTATATATATAATATTTATATATATATATATATATTATATCGTGTGTCGCAGTCTCCGAAGTAGGCCTGCCGCCCTTTTTAGAACAGAGCACGGGTCCCGTCAGCTGCCGTCCCTTCTGTCCCTTCTGTGCTGGAGCCTTTAGGAGCAACGGTCTTTCTCAAGGGAAGGTGTGTTTGAAGACCTGTTAGACCAGAAAATTGATGGGAATTCCATTTCTCCCCCTCATTTCCCATCGAATCAGCTCCGCAACAGCCAAACCGAGCGGGCCACGGTCGGAACGTGCATGGTTCCTCGAATTCGGCACCTCCTCCACAGATCTGCCCACAGCATCGCCCACCGAGCTGGAGGTTCGACCTAGGCAAAAGGGTCCGAGAAGAAGCCGAAACCAATGGGAGTGTCCAGAGCGAACTAACTATAGTCTATCCGGGTGTGTCCTAGAAGAGTGAGACGCCGTGCTTGAGGGACTTTGGCTCTATTTGTCTTCTTTTCCGAAGGCCTCCGGGGGGCACAAATACTCACCCATCTGGCACAAATACGATGGCTCCACGACTTCTCCCTCTGGTTTGGAACTACTCCTGGTGGAGTGGGGAACCGTTCGAAACGGTCATCGTCTCCAGGCGGCCCATGATCTCCATGACATTGTTGGACCTGCGCTAGGGCGAGAACACGTGCAGAGCGACGCACCTTTGTTGGGCGGAAGCAGCTTTCGGAAGGAGTTCGAGAAGCTGACCGGAGCTGCTGAGAAGCACCAGTTGCAAGTAGGATGTCTTTCTTTTAAAAAAGCCTTTACACCGGCTTGGACCCCTTTTTAGCCTGGCTCCAGAAGTCTTCCGGGCGAAAGGTTGCGGGCATGGTTGTAAGAGAAGTAAGAAGCCGATAGCTTCCAGCCTCTTGTCCGTCGAGCTCGGAGTACAAAAAGAATAGCTGCCAGCAGTCACAAAGGGGTGGTGTTTAGTCCCTAAGTGAGTGGATAATGGGCACCCCTAACCTCCATGGATAGCACCCCTTTGTGACTGCTGGTGGAAGCTAAGAATCTTGGCCCCTGGTGCAACTCCGAGGAGCGGACGATGAACGAGGAAGCAAGTGGATTGGACTTTGCAACACAGGTTCACGACTTGTGAACCCATCTACTTTTCTATATCTGTTTATATATATATATATATATGCAGGCCTTGTTGACTTATTCACGAGTGTGATGTGAAAGATGTTTCGATGGTTCCCATCCCCAACCCCGGCAGCCCAAAGAGCTCCTCACGGCGAAAATCTCCAGCTGCTGCGCCACCTCCCACGAGCCATACCTCATGGGAGAGCGCTGAAGTGACCATGGCAGGTTGGCCGGAGCTTCCCAAGGCCTCCTATTGAAGTCCTCAAGAAATCATTGGTTTGCTCTTGAGGTAAGGTACTCTTGGCTTGAGAGGCCCCAAGGGCCCCAAGAAGGGGGGCCCAAAACCCCCCTTCCAAATGGCCATGGCGACAAGCCATGGCAAAATAGCTCGTGTTTTCATGTTCGTTTCCCTTCCCCACCTGCGAGAAGAAGCACCTTCAGCACTAGTCACTCCAAGTTGTCAAACAAGTACGGAGTAATTCCTTTCACCCTCCTTCAGGTCCTTCCAGCAACGCTAGAGACCCGACCAAAGCCTATTCACTTGTCATCCTTTATGCCATCTCATCCCTGTTCCTTTTGGTCATATCTGCGCACGTGTGGACTTCCATTCTCGAGCAGATGTCCAAGGATGTCACTAAAACATGGCCCTCGAGGAGAAGGTGGATCAAGAGTTCCTTTGGATTCATTCAACTCCACAAACTCCAGCCGGAGGCCCTTTTGGAGCGTGCGAACCTTTGCCGCCCGAGAGGCATCACAAGGCCATAGAAGGTCAGGATTAGCATGAAGAGGCTGAACATAAACCAGGGGAATTCCTCGACTTGCAATGCTCGCGATGGATGGTGTGACGGTGTGGTTGCCTGGCCTGGTTGAATCAAGCTCTTTCACGTCACCTCCATGTTGATCAATGAAGGACTAACGAGCTATCTGATATCTAAATAGACACACACCAGATACCGTCGTCATTGCTTCACCTCGTTCGATGCGTTCTTGAATGAAGAAGAACTGCAGGAGACTGCAACCCCTACCACAATGGGTATGGCTTTGGTCCGGTGACACTCTCGGTTTGGCCACCAGGCAAAAGGTTCTCCTTTTGATCAGCTCCCGCATCTCAATCAACCAAGATCTAGACCCCCCACAATGCATGCAGCATCCAACGATTTGGAAGCTGCTTCCAGAGAAACAGGCCGGTCGAGGTGGTGGGTCAGCCGGTGGTCCAGGCGCCTGTAAAAATTGACCAACCAAGTAGATTGCCACATGGCTTCAAAGCGCCTCCGAGCCTTCAAGATCAAGACAGACAACTTGCATCACATGATGGTTTGCTAAAGAGACGTCCAGACTCCTTGAACTCACAGTTTGATGCGAAGTGGTGTAAGGTGTTAGTGGGAGTTTCTGTGGCGTGCACGGGAGTTTCTACATGCAGTACCGTACGTTCATATTCGACGATCCGCTTCCAGCCAAGGCTGGGCCAAGGCTGCCAAGGCTCATCTTCCTTTCTGTCATCTTTCTTGAAGGTACCGTACCTCACTGCTAGGACAGAAGAATGGACGTCCACAAACATGCTTCATGGGGCTGTCCAAACATGTCCAAACGTGTCCAAACGACGATCATCAACACACATGACATGTCGCACCAACTCTCCACCTCGCAAAAAGCCAGCCTGGAGAAAGTCAAGCCACTTGGGCAGGTTGTGAGGCTGGTGGCGATGAAAAACATACCACACCGTGATGACAAAAACTATTCCCTACACAGAGCAAACACGGACCAAACGGTCACAAACATCTTGCCGATGGTGTATCCAGACTGAAAACAAAAGAATCCATTCCAAGTTGGGTAAGTTCATCCATACTTCAAATGCAGAACTTTTCTTTTTGAAGCGCCCACAGAATTTCGGCATTCACTCCAAGTTCGGTGCGTCCAACCCGGCGGATTCAGCAATCTGGCGAAACCAAGTCTTGTCAGCCAGACGTATGTACATGACCCAGTGGTGCCAGGAATCTACGGCCAAAGGTTCAAGAAGGCTATAAGCTAGAAAACAAGGCCCTGCAGGCACTTCTTCCTGGCAAAACCGAATGAGCCAGGGCGGATTCAGACCGTTTTCCACCTAGTTTCTACCCGGGGGAGGGGTCCAACCTATGTGTAGGCCCGCAGAGTCGACTCCCAAAGAGTCGACGTTCCGCACCAGTCCCCGGCAGCACGCCACTCGTGTGTCCCAAGCCCTCGGCTACCGGACATATGGAAGGCCTGAGGTGAGGTCAACCTTGGATGTCCAGTCCGACAAAAGGGTGTGCCTCTGGAAGAGGCCCTCAGGATGAGATCCACCTGCCATGGAGGAAGGCCGATTGCTCTGGCCACCTTCTTCCAAGTTCCTGGTGAGCAATTCTAGGTAGTTGAGTCGGAAGGTGGTACTAAGCAGAGCTCGCAGAAAATCATTCTGGATTGGCAAGGGTATATATAATGCCTCCTTCCCTCTTTCCGAAACTGGGTGGCAGAAGTTCAAAAATGATCTTTCACCCTGTCTTGTCGCAGCCCTACATGGTTCCCTGCTATGCTAAGGTTGAAATCCCACCCCTGAGGGGCGATATCTTGTTCTTGAGTCCTATACTGAGTATATTCTGTTCTGTATCGCTCCACTTGATTCCTCTCAGACCATCGTTCCTCCACCGTCCATCTCCGCCAGACCTCCCGTGACCCCGCCGGCGACCCGAGCTGCCGGAGCCGAGGAGCGACCCGGACGGATCGGATCGGCTCGACCGTAGAACGTGTTGCTGGATCCACCGCGGCGGGCGAGGGAGCGAGCGAGCTGAGCACCAGGGGAGACGTCAAAACAGGTCGTGCTTTCCACGGAAACATGGTGGGATAGAACCGCCAACATCGTGGAGCCTCCAGAATCGACGTTCCGGTTCCAAAGAGAGTCTCAAAAGGACGCGGCGTGAAATCCCGCTTGGATGGGTGGGGTGGGTACTCCAAGACCAGTGCCTCACATACAGAAGACAAACCCCGACTTCACTTTCAGTTTCACAGGAAAAAACTGCTAAGCATCTCCAGTGCACCAGACCGCTGACCCCCTCGGACCCTGCCAGTACTTGGCTCACCCGCAGCGCTGCTTTCACCTGCTCCGGTCCCTCGACCGGCCGGGCCGCCGCCGCGCCTCCACGACCCGCCGCCGCGCGGCTTTCTCGCCCGACAGGTCCAGGCACGTCTGGGGCACGGGAGGCAGGGCAGGGCGGGGCATCGGAGCAATCGATTCCGGACCAGAGGGGTTCCGATGGGAATTGGATGGGTTCCCAGGTGGGAATGGATGAGGAACTCCAAATCAGTTCCTGGATGGGTTCCAAGGTGGGGTCCGATGCAGACATCTGAGGGCCTCGTCCTGTCTGTCGTCTCTGATCGTCCCAGGTCTTGATCTCCAAGCTTCCATTCTCATTCTGATGTGAGACATGCGGCTTTCCTCTAAGGGCCTCCCATCTCCTATCTTTGCTTGCCGGAAGAATATATTAAAAGGCAGCAAACTGTTTCTCAGCAATTGGACTCGGAAAAATCCTCTTGTTTCAGGCCGGGCCCCGAAAATCCCTCCAGAGCTGGAAAGCTATCTCCACCCTCTCCGCCCTCCGACTTCACTCGTCGCCTCCTTGAAGAGTTGCGCGTCCACCCATAAGATCCTCAACTCGCTCTCCGCGACCACCGAGTAGGGCCACCTTTCCTGCCCAACGAGGTGATGAGCTTCGGGCGCTCCCAAAAAAACAAAAGGAAGCACGCGGCGATGTGTCGGGCGATTCAAACAGCGTGGCATCCAGGTGCTACTGTCATGCTCCATTACATGCGCAATAGCTAAAATGATCTGGCAACTTACCAGCAAATACAACCCGCTGACTGACCCATCGTTCTGCAGGCTGTGAGTGTTCAGGAAGAACCGGTGAACCCCATGGATCTCGATGAAGCATGGCGAAAAACCACAGACCCATCCCTGGTTAAACTCTGAACGGAAATCGGCCTTTGCTGTTGGTCGGCTGTGGACTCCATTCTTGGATAGTGGTCGGCTGGATGTAGGGGAAGATAAAGTGAACAACGGATGTGAGTGTGTATTTTGATAGGTCTCCAACCAAAGGGTCTTGGTCTATTTCCCGAACCTTCCAGAAGGTCTTTGCGGGATCTTCCTATTTTAATTCACACTCATGTGATTTTGCCTCTCAGGCAGCTGGAATAGCTTGCCTCGCCCAGGAGCACATCCTCTCCCACGGCGCTGCCCTGGAGTAGAAAGAGAGAGAGTGAGAATGGAAGACCCGATCTTCGATTTGGGAAAGGCGGGTCTGAGGGGAGGGAAGAATGTTTACAAGAGGTTTAATGCGACTGACATGGACCCAGATTGATTGGCCCCAGTTTCATTGGGGATGACCCTTACGCCTTCATCCAAGAGCGCCCCCAGTTTAGTCTCAGGACTCCTAGCTTCGGACCAGAGGGGAGGGTGGACGAAGAAGGCACTGGCCGAAGAAATCTGATGGGAAAGTGCCCCACCACCTGGGCCATGCCGCTCACCTCGTAGATAGTTGAATTTCTGGGGCTTTACAGCATGGCCATCCACATCTTGGAAAGGTAACTCGGGTCTTCGTCGCTTTGGCATACAGGTGGTTGGATGCTGGGACCTACCTCATAGATAGGACCATCCCAGACCGCCGCCGACAAAGAACTGATCATCGGCACCGAAACACCTGTCCATTCCATCCATATGTTCGGAATACCATGGATGTAAGGGCATGATGAGGAAGCCCAGTCAGCTTGAGAGGATCAAGCGGCTCCATTGCATCTGTCACCTCTGCCGAGCAGATTAAGGCTACAATGCAGTGTCTTCCCTCCCATAGACCAACCAACACCTCCAAAGCCACTGGCTTGGTCTTCAGAAAATCATCCTCCACGGGCCCATCCTGCTCTTTGCGGGCTTCAACATGACAATCAGTTGGAAAGCACACGCCCGGGCGGTGAGCCTCTTTTAATGGTAGGAGGGAGGCACCGCGAGCAGAGGAGGAGGCTTGACCTCTCCAGCGGGAGCAGAATTTGGCAAGTTTGGTCGATGCTTCCTTTTACCAAAGGGTTTGCCAGGCACCCTATTCTTCCGCTCCATATTATTCATATCCGGTTGATCTTCCCAAATGCCAAACCTTCTGATCACAAAGAAAACCTCCCCCCCAAAAAAAAGGACGAAGGACCTCGTCAAACAGCCAATCGTTTGCTGTCCGAGTCGGAGTCGACCAACCATGTATACTTTTGGTCTGGAAAAAAAGGACCTCTTCCGTTCGAATCAAAGGGAGGTAGTGCAGGTGGAGTCTCAGGTAGTGCGGGTTGCAGCTGGAGGCTTCTCCACTTCCTTCGAGACCACCTCGGACATCTACCTCGGACGGGGCTTCACCTTTCAGGACCTGCTCCACCACCGGACGCCCGAACACATGGAGTGCGAAACATGGAAGAACGCACCCCCGCTCTTCGAGGTGTGTATCATTGCCCCGATCTCTCAAATGGATCAAGTTCTTGCTCGCTGAACGTGAAGGAGACATCACCCAAAAACCATCAAAGGAAGCATGCCGCAGCCGACACGGTCTAACTATCCATCCATCCATCCATCTGTATATAGATAGATTCGTTTGTTCAGCCCCAACAAAAACAGCTGAAAAACCGAAGGGTCTCTCTCAGAGAAGTCTCAAAACCAACTCTTCCTTTGACTCATCACCCTGGGCCTTGGAGGATCTGAAAGAATCCATGGGCCGCCTCGCCTTCCGCGCCTCAGAGCCGAGCCCTCCTCCGGCTCTCCCTCCGTTTTGAACTCGTCGTCTCCGTTGGTTGTTTTCGAACTCGACCGGGGTGGTAGACCGGTTCGAAAACACCTGGACAGCAGCTGCCTTTTTCTGGTGCTGGTGTCATGAGTTCGTGGTTTTGTATGGATCGGTGAATGGGTGGTGTTTCTTCCAGAGGTTTTCAGCTTGACCGAAGGGGTCAAGCAGCTTCACTATAGGGACCCTTGGTATTTCTTCGTTCGGTGGCCGCCTTGGGCTTCCGCATGGCGTCTGCACTGGGAAACCAACGCGAACTTGGAGCCAACAAACACACGCGGAGGGATTCCACATGATTCCACCATTGCAATCCAAGGGTTCGGTGCAGCATATCTTCCACAAGTAATAATCTGCCTGAGTTTGAAACGAAAAAAACACATGGCTCATCTATGCCATCTATGCCTCCGCAAATCGTCCCTCCGTTCACCCCCCGTCCAACTGGGCATTGCCCCCACACACCAGCTCGCCGGCATGGAAGCTGCGACAGCGCAGCCCCCGGCAGAGCTGCCGGAGCGAGCGGCTTTCGAGCGACTGGAACGCCTGCGTCCGGTGGAAACCCGGAGAGCAACCGGATTCCGAGGAAGTCGGGAAGCGAGCTGGCGCGCGGTGTCACGGTGTGAGGCATGAAGCAAACAGGGAGTGTGTTTTCGGCATGAGGCATGGTGTGATGCTTGCTCCTAGGCTCCTAGGCACTCTGAGATACTTGTCCCGTAGGGATCATCAACAGTCAGTCATGCACCAATTCGAGCACTGAGAACACGCTCGTCTATCCTCATGTTCGGCCTACCCTTCCCAATCCAACCTAGCAACTCACTGGCAGTTTCGGAAGCAATTTTCATCCACCGGCTGGATGATAGCGGCGACGGATAGAATCACACCCACAGAGACTACTGAAACACCAGGGCTCACCTAAAAGGAAATCCAACCTGCTTCAATCTAGGAGAATCTAGGATTCCCATGGATTGCCCGGCTTCCGCAAAATTCCCAAGGTCAAGGGAATCCATGAGCCATATGTTTGTCCTCATCCCATACCATCCCGCACCTCACTTTGGCGAAGCAAGCGACTCAGTTGGTAGATCTCCTTGATGCCTGCCGTCGGTCATTTTGATGTTTCAATGTGAAAGTGTCTCTCTCAGGAATTGAGAAAGCTCCGTTCCTTTTAGTCCAGTGGACTGGGTGCAGCTGAAAAAAAACTCATGGTGCAACCGACTTCGAGCCGGTCAAATAAAGACCTGTTCTGCCCTTGGCCGAGAGTACAGTATCTGGGGTGATCGTGGCATATCCTGACCACACGAGCCATGTGGAGAGCCTTCACCACAAGTCGGATGGGCTTGAGTGTTGAGTTTGGTGTTGGGACCTTCTTCCTCACCTTCCTCAGCTGCATGGAACTCATCAGAAGGGATGGATGCTCCGTCCAAAAGAGCACACACAACGGTGGTTGTGGGACGTGCAACGACAGGTGGAATCAGAGTCCAAGGAAATTCTGGAATAGTCTATTTACACGTGTTACAGGGTGCATCTTTCTTTCAACCGCCAATGAGATTCAGCGTCCAACCGAGTTCAAGACAAAACCCTCGGTCAAAAACCCAAAACCTCAAACCGGTGGCTTCTTGATGCCTGACATGGTGTGTTGATGCTTGGTTTCACCCCTAAGACGATATATATATATATATATATGTCGAGAATCAACCACCCAAAACGTGCCTGTGGCAGGGCATGTCGCATCCGTGGTCGCACAGGAGGGGATCGCCACCGGATCTTGCTGCCCCTCCGTCGAATGGAAGACGTGTGCGGTTTTGGAGTGGTTTTAGAGTGGATGGCATAAGGGCCCCTAAGTTTTGGCGGTTTATATGGACCCCCATATAGAAGACATCTTTGGGTTTGTGCCATCTGCTCTGAAACCACTAGGTTCATAGCAAAGATTGGTCAATCCGCTTTGCCACATGAGATTGCGTTTGATCCCTCATCGTAGGTCAGAGGATGGTCTCTGGCCTGTGAAGGCAAGTAGCAAGAGCCGGGTTCTCCAAAGGTTTTGGAAGTTCATGTACGTTCAATCTGAGGACCAACACACTCAGAACGAATGCCAGATTCCTGCCTACTGGTGAAGCATAGAACCTCAAGACTCAAGACGCATCAATAGCACCCATCCTGTTTTCCATCTCTTTTGGTAGGACTCTGGTATGTTGCTGTTATGATCCTCGCGAGGATTTTGCTTCGGCCGCTTGGCAAACATGCGGGCTCCGCCCGGGACAAAAAAAGAAGGAAGCAACCATGCAGTGGTTGTCACAAGACCCTGACCTGATCTGCAATGGCCCTCACTGTCACCAAAATGTTCGTCCTTCTTTGGTCAACGAGTCCATGTCAGATCAACCAAAAAGGTTCCCCTCACCGTGGTTTTCCACCTCACCTCTGCCCCGATATCAGCCCTTCAACCACCTCATCAAGGAGTGAAGGATCCAAGACCAGGACATCTGGCGCAGAGGCGCCCGAAGGCGTGGTGGGGATTTTCTGCTCAAAACAAATGCTCTTCACTCGCCAACTCGTGATGGGGGAAAAAGAAACATCCTTCAACTCACTACACAGCTTGAGCTGCTCCTCCAATTGCTTTTTTGACCCTCCTGAGTGCTAGAATTATTGAATGCTCAGGAATGACTTTAACACCGTCAGACCAACAATCCAGCCGGACCAGCAATCCAGGACCAGCTCTTTGCGTGTGGCTTTGTTGAAGTCTTCACACGTCCAGCATGCACGAGCGAAAGGAGGCGTGCGATGGCATCCAAAAGGAACTGAAGGTCCCTTCCCACGGAGAGAGGAGAGAACCGACCTGCTTCACAGGGCCGATGCCATGTCATCGTCAGGGCCGATTGATAGGAGAACAGACATGGAGACGAGCACGAGACAAGTTCCTTAAGAGGGTGAGCGTTTTTTCTCCAAAATGAGTTGCGGGTTCCACCTATTCTGAGGGTTGTCAGTAAGGAAGAACATGCTCAGAATGTGCATCTGTCCTGGCTCAAGCATGGTTCAGGCACAGCCATCCACCTTACCCTTGCCAAGCTATGACAGCAAATCCGATGACTCAGCCCGTTATCTTTCAAAGTGCTTGGACATGAGTGTGTATGAATATAGGGGGGTCCCCCCAAAGACCATCTGGAAGGTTCGGGAAATAGACCAAGACCCGGTTCGAGACCTATCAAAATACACACCCACATCTTCCAGTGCAGAAAAATCCGCTCAAAGAACCTTCCCAACCACTCATCTTCCGCTCTGCAGCCGCTCATCGGCGATACGTCGTGGTATTTCTGGCAGCCGTTCCCGGTCAACTGCGGTCAGTAACCCACGGAGCTAAAAGCGGGAACGTGGCAAAGGGGACCAAAGCATGGCTGACATGGCTACTCATACCTCTCCCACCATGGTAGGACCGTCCTTCAGACATCTATTCTATAGGATCATCTTTTGGCTGCAATGGGCGTTGGAATTGGTGTTGTTTTTGTTTATATTGATGTTGTTTTGCTAGGTAGCTCCTCTCATGGGGTTTTAGAAATTCTTCCCAGCAGTGTGGCAGCTCTCTGGTGCCTCTGCGGCGGGTTGACTTGGCCCTCCTCATTTATATGATCCGAGGCGCGGCGCTGTTAGAACTTGTTAAAAATTCATGGCAGCTCTCAACTTCCTTCTCAAACCTCAGCCTAGTGGAAATCATCCAAAAAGCTGGTTGGCCAAAACCCGATCCACCACCTCCATCTCTGCTCCACACCACCTCGCCCAAACCCCCGCCCCCCGCCGGTCTCGCGCTTCGCCTGTGTTCTGTAGGGCCACCACGCATCCGGGTCGAACACGCTCGCCTGGCCTGGCCGAAGCGAAGAATACCATATTGACGAAAACGCAGCAGGAGACGAAAACGTACCTTCAAGGTCAAGATCGATCGATTTAGTGCGAGATACCTCAAAGATACCCATTGATTTGTTTGGTCGTTTGGTCTCCAACGTAGCTCCACTTTGATGTGTTTCGCATTGAGTTGCCCGTTTCTCCAGCCCAAAGGCACACACACACACACGGAGCGAGCAGAGGGCCTGTAGACCCTTGTCATGAGGCCCAGTTCGGTGACGTCCATGTAGACCTGCGATCTTGCTCGATATCACGTCCTTCGGCCAATAGATGTTAGCCACTCACAATCCAACTTTCCAAAGCAGGGAACCCTTCAAGGGCTACCTAGCTATATAGGCCACCTGAGAGTGATGGATCACGGACATCCATCCCATAAGAAAGGAATCCTGATCATGGGCGATGAATCATGAGCATTCACCATGTATGTGTCTTGTTCAAAAGATGCCGAGGGCGTCTCAACCAATCTCCATGTCTACGGAGCAACTGAAAACGGAGACCTACAGACCGTCTACCGGGGTCACCTGGAGTCCTCACTGCTGGCGAACGGACCGGGAATTGCAACTCCAACCCCTGGAGTCCCATTCCCATGGTCTGGCTGGTCTGGCGAACTGCAGCGCCCACCGACCGACCGACCGACCGACGAATCAATGCTCATTGACCTCAAGTGACAAATCGTCTTCCATCCTGAGAAGAAACACTGTGACTTTAGTTAAACTGGCAGGAGGTGTAGTCACAAATGAACGTTTGTGCTCTCCACATTATACACATCAGAAATCACTCAATTCTTGTTCTTCTCGTCAAACCACACTGCCTCCTTGCTGGCCAGGACGCCTCGCATCAACGCCCAGACGTGCCGTGCATACAGAGCGGCACGCGGGCGCATGGGGTTGGAGATCCGTTATTCTGATAAAGTACAAAAATTATACCAGCATAGACCCCAAACAGCTTCAACACGATTCGTTGGGACAATATCAATCAAAAACGATTTCTTGGTACGCCCTACTGCCCCCCCCAAGGGCAAATTGCGTTATCAATGATTTTTTGTCGGCATCGACATCGCTAATTGTTCGGCCATAAGAGAACACAGGAGAAGAGCAGGACCAGCGGAGGACAAGACCCGGCCACAGAGCCCGGCCACAGAGTTCAGGGGAGCCCAGCCACAGAATTCATGGGCGCGGCCAAGAGAAGGACAAGAGGAGGACAAGAGAAGGACAAGAGGAGCACAAGAGGAAGACAAGACCTGGACACAGAGCCCAGCCACAGAGTTCCGGGGCGCGGTCAGTGAGTGTGGCCAGCTCTTTTTTTTAGATGGAACCCCAACAATAAACTGCTTGGTGAACAAGAGGAGGACAAGAGGAGGACAAGGCCCGGACACAGAGTTGGGCCACAGAGCCCAGCCACAGAGTTCAGGGGCGCGGCCAGTGAGTGTGGCCAGCTCGTTTTTTCTAAGATAGAACCCCAACAGTAAATTGTTTGGGGAATAATATATATATAATTATATAACCTAAAGGACACTCGATCATATATAATCATATATATATATACCTGCATAAATGTGCTAAACAAACTGGCAGGTGGAGGTTGCAGATACTTTGGTTGGCAAAAGGGGTCCATCTGATGTCTGTTTTGTGGACTGACAAGGTGGGTCATAAATTAGATGTACGGTGATATGATTGCTGAAGACAGGCGACTGATCAGAAGTTCTGACTTCCTGGCCTTGGAAGGATAAATCGCCAGGAAGTCCCATCAATCCCCAGTTCAGTCCCATCAATCCGCATGTCCGTGGTTCTATGATTGATGATTAAACTATATCCAAGAGTTTCCGTGGTTCTTTGCTTGCTCCGCACTTCGTACAGGTTTATTTCAGGTTTGCGAGCACCTTGCCAGCTCTGCTTGAAACCGGCTGGCTTCGAAGGGGAAGCTTTTCTTCAAACCCATTGGGTGCCAAGATCAAAGTAAGGCCTATTCTTCGATACTAGTCACTAGAGGGTGCTTGGAGAAATTGTCAGATTCAAGTGATATATATATATATACAGTATATATGTGTGTGATGGCTCTCCGAACCTAAGGTTCAAACATCTGACTACTGGTGACTTGAATCGTCAAACAGGGGGTTCTGTTCAAGAACCTTGAGGTCGTCACCTTCTACCATCATCCTTGTACAGGGGATCAAGAGTTGCTCATGCAAACATTGAATTCACTTGAACATATTCAGCTCAAGAATGCCTGATCTACCTTCATCGGAACACGTGGGTACAAAAACAACAATATACAAACTCCTAAATCCTGCCTTGGCTCACCCCTCGTACCTAACAGGCCATCGTGTTCGACTTCTTATCCCTAAGTAGATAGAGCGATAAATGAGTTTCACGACATCCCGCCACAACTCCACCCCAACCCAGGGATCCTCCCTGACCGCAAGTAAAAAGACATCGGGCGATGCAGGCGACCTCGTCTGACACGGCCCAGTCAATTGGGAGGTGAAAAAGTGAAGAAGAACCGTCATAGCCAAGGCACCCACATCCACGCCCTCAACCTGAGCCAAGTCCTCGGGCTCAGCACAAAAGATCCAGGGATGGCTCATCCAAGGATTGCGCCAAAAGAATGAGCCCGAGACTTTGTCAAAGATCTATCCGAGTTGGAAATCATCACTAGATGAGAAAACAATATGCCGCTCAACTTAAAATCTGAGGGTGTAGCGTACCCCCTGTTCCGCATGAGAGGTCACTTTCGGTCAACATTCTTCAGGACTTCAGTCCAAGCAGCACCCTTGGACATCTTCTCACGTACATGGCTAAGACCCAGACCCAAACCTGCCAGGTTCTCAATATTGTAGACTCTGATAAATCAAACCACCCATCACGAGTAGAGGCTTTACATGGCTCAAACACCATCCAAACCACCTGAGTTTGCAGGAGACGTGCTGAAACAGGCCCTTCACGACCCGAGTCAAGGGAGGGCCCCATCTATTAGTAGACGCTGGAGGTACATAGACCCCCCCCCATATGAAGAGGTGGTTCAATCCAATGTCTGGGGTGGGTTTATGTACCTCAAGAGTCTACATGAATTAGGCAGGGTGCTGACAGGTCGATTCCCTTCGAACAGACCATCTCCAACTGTAAGACATCCGGTCGATCGGGTCAGCAGACCAGTGGCCACGTGGCCAGACCGCGCCTTGGCCGCCGACCGCCCAGGCCGGTGCCCCACCCCGGTCGGCACCAGTCCTTGTCAACCCACTTGGCCTGCTCTCCCAAGAGCATTTGGTCCAGAAACCTGAACCAACAGCAGCTGGTCCATCGGGCTGTTGAGTGATTCGGGATTGATTTCAACAGGTGTGCGGGTGGTAGATGTCGTAGGTGAAGGTGTTCCCCTGCCAAGAAATGTTGCTGACCTGTTCCGAAGATCAAACGCTGTCCTTGTAGCATAGCCACCTATCTCGGTTATAAGCAGCACTGGGCTCTGTGACCTACCCTCACAACGAAACATCGAAACTGAGACAGCCTCCTGAGGAAATCATGGTGCTGGCCGCACATTCCCAGCGATTCCTGCATGTAAATACGTCATCTCGTGATCCACTTCAACAAGAAAAACAGAAGTGGTCCTCCCTATCCTCCGCCAGCCGGGTTCGCTCTCAGCACACCCCATTCTGCGCCCTCCGGGCACCGCTGCCTGCTTTCCAGGAAGCGCCGCACTGGCCGGGCGCCCAACACCAGGCGTTGAAGCTGGGGACACTGAAGCTCCTTTTGAAACGGGTCAAACCGGCACCCGGCCCACCGGTGCGGCAAACGCGGCGGGCACCGGTGGTTCAATTCGGAAGCGGAAGACGCGGCGATTTGGCTTGGATGGGGATGATTCCATAAGCGCACGTCTTCCGAGGTCCTCCGAGAACCTGGAAAGGACCGAAGGAAAACCTGGAAAGGACCGAAGACTCTGTTCGATCCCACCTTTTTCTGCCTCAACGAACTTCCACATCGATCACCTGTCTCCCAACAGGATTCCTTCCGCGCCCCCCGCGGTGCCACCCCGCCCCGACCGCGGCGCGCCCGCAGCTCCTCGAGCCGTCGCCGCGCCACGCGCAGCAGCACCGGCGCCAGTTGATCGCCTGAAAATGCAGCTCCGATGCTGCGGAGGAGTCCAGGTCTTCTGCCGGGTTCGCGGTGGATCAAGGTCGAAGTGAGTCAGGCCAGGGGAAGACGATAGAGGAGTCAGTGCCAGGTACCCCACGACCGAACGTGATTGTAAAAGACGTTGGGGTACGGGTATCCCCTCTATCAATCAAACCAAGAGTAAAATGCCATCTGTGTGATTATGTGAAGGATCCCTTCAAATCCAAGGGTGAATCATCTTTGTAGGTGTGGATCAAAACACTTGCTGAGCTTCTTGTTTCAGTCTTTTTGATGCTTTGTGGGGATGTAAGGACAGCTAAAAGCAGTGGGCTTCTGAGCTTCTGTGATGCTTCAAGCTGAGGACTCCCCGCTGCACTAACAAAGCCATCTATTTGAAGCATTATTACTTGGCCTCCTGATACAATAATTCCATGAATAAGCCTCCCAGCTAAGCGCCCAGGCTCATGTCATTTGCGTCACCATCCACTTCCAAGAATGTCAGCCCTTGCAGCCAGCTTTGGGCCTGTCGCGGCCATGCATGAAGGCCCCGCAAAGGTTCGCCTACCATGTTCTGGGCGTTTGTGTGTCGAGCACCACCTCTGGCCGAGAAGTCAGAGGCAACTACCCGCTGCTCTACGTCAACAAGTATCCATCCAGGATTGCCCCGCATGACAAGGCCTTGAGCTTCGCCTTTTCAGAAGCTTCGTCTCTGTTTGCGTGCAGGTTCCATCGTGTGTCGGATGGAAGTTCCGTCGCAGCTCATCCGAAAGGCACAGGTCAGAAGGACATCGGTTTTCTCCAACTCCCAGGATCGGTTTCAGGATGTTTAAGGGCAAATCAACATGAAACCAATCAAACCAATTCTGCTACCAAACCAAGCTGTTCTGTCCCTCACTGCACAAGAGTCCAGTTCCTTCCCAGTTGCTGTGATTGGCTGAGAAGTTGGTCGATCGTGAAGTACAGGGACAGTTGCAGCCATAGCTTCTGGTACCTTCATATAAATTCACCGCAGTCCTCCAAATTGAGGCGGCTGCGTCCCCTCTGTGGTCTGAGGTACACTCAGGTGGTTTTTGATCCAGATCTACTTGTGAAACACTGTTTACAGTAGGTTTACAGTAAATGCAAGCCATCAACGCAAGCTAGTTGTTTGCGGCGTTTCAAGAGCTGCACGTTCCATAAATCCTTGGCCTGCAATGCATGTTCACCCCACCACCCGGCAAAGCAAAAAGCAAGAGGTTCAATTTGTCTCCTCACTGGAAGAGTAAGAATTTCAACGCAACCGACCGGAAAACAATGCTTTAACTGTCCCATGACCTCCTTATCTTTTGCATCCTTTTACGCCATCGGTCTTCAACGGTCGCTGGTCACCCGGTCTTTCTCGGTCCGCCTGCTCAGTAAGGGCCACATCCTGGAAGTGACCTAGGCTCGAGGCAGATGCACCACTACAAAGAGGGGACAAATAGTAGAGAGTCGTTCTGCTTCGGATTCATGAGAGTCTTAACGCAAGCAATATTATATGCATTGGAAATATGGTAGATGTGTATACATAGAAACCTTCCAGAGACTCATAGTCGATCTAATGGTTTGGATGAATGCAACCCCACCCGTATGCCTTCGAGGTTGATGAAACCCAGTACTTTGGGGTTTGGGGACACGAAAAAAACCTGGTGTCGAAAATACTGCAAACATGCCAGGCTTAGTGAGCATGCCAGGCTTGGTGAGCATGCTGCCATGAGTGGCTCGACACAATGGCCTGAAAGATCTAAAAGCTGACTCTCAGACTTACCTACAACGCAGGGACTTTATAGCTTGCAATATCACCAGCTTGTTGAAAACCAACTCTAAACAAAGAGTTTGGGCATGCCAAAAATATACGCATACAAGCTGAAATCCTCAGAAGCAAGTTGAATGAGGGATCCAATAAAGCTCTAATCCACTCAAAGGCAGAGGCATTGGCGGAGATGTAAGCGCCTTTTCAATATTATCATGAGAAAGTGGGATCTGTCCACCAAAACTCTGGAAAGACCAAGCGCAGCCACCTCCAAAGAGGGGCAGCTTGTGGGAGATATGTCACAGTACACCAGGCAAGAGAGGGATCAAAAACGATGTCTTTACATATCAAAGCAATTATTCCACCACGCATCCATTGCGCAGTGCCTGTCCAAAGCTGCCCTGACAACTTGAAGAAAAGTGTTTCAAGCAGGAAAGGACAATAAAAGAGTTTCCAAGAATCAACCAAAGTTCAAAAAGGTTTAGCCGAAGCTGAAAGCAGGAAAGGTTGCTGCAAAGAACGTGTAAAATCATGTATACCCCATTTGTGTCGCTTTAGAAGTCAGCGGATGGGTTGACCAGTTCACCGTGAAAGACGTGGTGCCCCTCGTGGTGCTCGGCGTGCGTCGCGTCCCCTTTCGGGGGGTCCAAGGGATCGAACGAACAGCCGTCAGCTTTGGGAGGACCGGACCGGACGACAGACGACGGGGAACAGGGAGCAAGGAACCAGGCCCATCTCCAAAACGCATGAGACTCTAGTGAGATAGGAGTTGTGGAGCATAGCCTAGTATACCTAGGCCTGTGCAGACGCAAAAAGTGATGCCAAGCGGAAACCCGACCAGACCGCGGAGCAAGAGACCGCTGTCAGCGAAGCAGGGGTAGACCAAGTAGACGGCTTCACCGGGAGACTACGATGGTTTGATCCTGTTCTTGTATAGTGGATAGAGAGTAGATGGCACAAGTTACCCCCAAGTAAGGTGGTGCAATTATGGACCCCTGTCTGTCTAAGACATCTTGGGGTCTGTGCCATCTACTCTGAAGCCACTGTATATGTTTTGTTCCGCTTTCAATATCCACGTGCCAGGATTAAAAACAATTGAAAAAATTAGCAAAGTGGCAAGCTTAAATCCTTACATGGTCGGCCTCCGAGTCTTGCAATGTTTCCCAGGAATAGTTTCAGTGGAAGAAGACAGCATGGCCCAACCATCCAAGCGTCCGCCTTTGTGTCTGCTGTCCCGACGCTCGTGACTTTCTCCGCGCGGAGGCGCTCGCAGGTTCGCTGTGATCCTCACTTTCCGCCACCATCTGGCCCTTGTTGTACCGGCAGAGTGCAACTGACTAGTTGGGAGTTGGAGAGTCTACATTCTGGCTCCCAAACATAGAGTCATAGAAGTGGAACATGGTCCCTTCGAATACTACTTTCCTCTACAAACCGCGGAGTGTTCACTTCCTTGTTGGTGAGTAGGAGAGTACAAATGTAGAGCAGAAAGAAGTAGGTGACTACATGACTGTGTCACTTTGCATAGAAGGCACGGTAGGCATGTGTATACAGCATCTGCCTGGCTTTTCAGGCACATGCACACATGTCACTGTGACACAATTGGGAGCGTCTTCTGAGTTGAGAACAGCCTCCGCCAGTGGGAAGCTGCACTCGGAAGACCGGCATGTCTCGCAGGTCGCGTGCGCCTGAAAGAGGAACCTCACTGTCCCCACCTGGTAAGGGCATTGACTCATAGGACTAGAAATGGACCGATTTTTTTTGTGGAACAATCCTGGAAGTGGATGGCATGGTCCCTGGAAAGACCTATTTCTAAATACCAAACAGGAGGGTTCGACTTCCAGGTTTGTTCCAGGGAGAGCAAGTAAGGAACAGGTGAGTCACACAAGGTTTGGGTTTCGCGTACCCATTGGCCCATGTGCATCCCCGAACGTATCTTCACTGACGGATGTTTCTCAGGCCCTGCGGTCGTGTGATGGCGCCAAAAGGAGTACAGCTCACTCCTTCAGGCTCAACCATTAAAACGCAGAGAGCGCCAGCCTTTCCGCACTTCGGCCAGCTTTGGGACCGACATCGGCGCAAATCAAAGCTCTCGGCTCTCGCTTGTTCAAAAGCATGTTGATTACACATGACCAGCAACATCTGGTCACTGCCGAATCAAATCACTGCTTCATCGCGCTTGCACGAGCCGCGCGCAGCTGCACTGCGTGGTGGACGCTGCCCGCTGTGAACGCGCTGGCGCGCACCATCAGTGCGGTGAAGCCATACCTCAGTGAGAAGAACATGGACCAGTTGGAGATTTGTCGAACACCCATTGCCCCACCCCCGTGCCTCAAACCTGCTTCTTTATGGGTGGTGCAGGTCAACAGGGAAGATGCCTTTGGCACATTCGTTGCAAAGCTTCAGCTGTGGCCAACAGTGCGTGCCTCTTTCGGTCTTTATCCATAACATCAGTTCACCGTTCAGAACCACGACATCGACCCCAGGGAAAGCGCAATGTCCAAGACCTTTTGCTGTGTGTTGAACATAGAAACTAATGTAGACTTTTGATGAATAAACTCTCCCACTTGAATGCACAGACTTGCGGACATGCTCCCACACCATCCCTTGCCCACAGATGGGGCGGGTATAGGTGGTGATCGTGGTCAGTTGTGAAACTCGAGCTAGAAAGACCACATATATACACTACGAATACTACGAAGAAGGAAGCCAATGTGCAAGAATGACGAACAAGAAAGGCATGAGGTCATCTGAGGCACGAGAACACGGACCCTAATTAGTCACGAATTACCAGCGGTTCCCTTAAAGAACTACTCAATCCGAGGCATCTAATTCAAACACCCCATCATTCACCTAATTGGGATCAGGATGCAGGAGTGTGTCGAGATCTTTTTTGGTGCGAAGGGCATTACGAACACGTATCTGAAATTTTTGCTGCTTGTCGGAATGAATTTCTTGCCAATCAGGCCACCTTTGCTCCTCAGTGTACGTATCCAATGCCAAAACTGGGATATTCGTGTGAAAGGGTGGATCACACGGCATAGTCATCAGGAGATCATGAATATACTTATAAGTCTTGGGCCAGTGGGAAGCTCAGGGCGACATGCCATTCCTCATGATCCGTGGAGAATCCCTGCGAAATCAGGCTCTTTGAAGCACATTCTTTGTCAGTCGGTATCAATTTGGTCTGCGAGAACGTGTGTAATCGGCCACGGTGCGTCATGACCGATGCGAGGGTGGCATCAACTGAACTTTGGGGTCTGTTAGACGATAAACCTGCCAACCTTTTTCCACTCGAAGTTGAACAGGATTGGGGGGAAATCCTCTTCATATGGGGGGAGTTATGTGCCTCAATAGTCTACCAATTCCCCTGCGAGCGGAACCTGCGCGGTCAAGGGACATGGCCCCCAGAAGCGGCAACAGCCGAGCGGTTCCACCAAAGGCAGCCCACAGACTCCTGCGTTTTTTGTGCGAAGAACTCGGCATTTGAGTCGAAGAACTGGGGATCCTCTTGGGTTCGACGTTTGCAGGAAAAAAAAACGAGGTGACCTGAGTTGGCGAACGATTTGGCCATGTGGGCAGAACTCCTATGGAATTGGGATGATCAGGCTCAGGGTTGTTCAAACATTCATAAATCTTCTGTGGATTCAGGATGATTCAGGATGATTCACGATGCAGAAACTCTGAAATGTGTGGAACGCGTGCAACCACGGACCCCTTACTCGTGCGACCTACGTGCGTTTTTAACATGGACGATTCCTGAGTGTCTTGAAGGTGTCGCTGCTCTCGAGCTCGTCGTGCTTCTTGGCTGCGCACTTCTGCCCCACCTGACCGGTTTGAGACAAAGCGGCAAAGTCTAGTGACCTAGTGGATGAGCTGGCTTCAGGAGGTACTGGACATACATCTCTTCCTTCACATGGGCGTGAAGTAGAACCTCCTCTTTTCGCAAAGCAGCATGGCCTTCCCGGGGCCTATGCCACCCACTTCCATGTTTGTGGGTCAGAGCGTAAATGGTACACAAACTACATCCATCTGAAACCTCTCAAGTTTTAAAGTTACATGAACTCACTCAGTTCAATCATTGGATTTACCGACTTGTTGAGGGAAGAGTCTCATGTGATGAGCTGTTGGCTTAGCTCGGGGGAACAGTGTGTTGCACTGTTGGGCATGGGAAGAAACCACATGAGAACGGTAGGCTCCAGCAGTTTGAGAGTTGAGGTTTTCAGTATTGTTGAGTATTCCTGGTCCTAGATGTGCTTTGGAGCAAAGTAGACCCTTTGCACCCCCAAAAGTACCCTCCGCACTCCAGCGTTTCCGAGACATGTCTGAACGGTCGTTCCAAAAAAAGAATCGGGTGGCTGAAAACACCCAAGCTGGATTCGCTTTGGCAGCTCGGTGGAACCAAGTGCCATGCCACTTGGGAAAGCTGGCACGAAGACATTTCGAGATGGTGCTTCTTCTTGTTACTATATAGTAGCGATGGCCTCCAGTCCAACCTAATAGCGTCCTTGTTACTAGTAGCTTCTTGTTACTAGTAGTAATGGTCTCCAACCTACTTGCGATGGCCTCCACCTAGTAGCGTCCTTGCTACTAGTTCCTTCGAGATGGTGCTTCTGTGTCTTTTTCCTATGCTGGTCGACCATTTAAGCAATGTTCCAATGCAGATCCTCCAAAACAATCCAAAAACATCGGCGTGGGCGTTGCGCCATCTGGAAACTAAAACCACAATATCCGACCCACGCTGCAGCATCGCATGACCTCGCGGCCCACGACCACAAAGTGAATACCTCAATCGACATGGGAAAACCCCACCGACCCCAGGCCATCCCACGTCACTTTTGGTTTCCCCCAGTCCGTGGATGTTCGAAGAGAAGGAGCTTGAAACTTTGGGATCCACGGGTTTGGGCCGAACAGAAGGTTGCTCATTGGGTTTGTCGGGGCATCCCAGTCCCACAGTTCCTCGTTTGGAACCTTCAAGAGAACCTATGGCCTATATGCAAACAAGACCCACTATGACACTATGTTGTCCACATCTCGTCGCACACCTGGCACCCAAGGCTGTCTTTGGTCTTCAAAAATGAAAAAACATGTTTCAACCTCCACTGTCTCCCCATCACCGGACCTTTTCCTCAAAGAAATCATCTGATGGCTCCATATGTCAGAACCAGTCATCTCTGGCAGCCATCCCCTTGTTCCGATCTTAACCCCGGGCGACCGCCGAGACACAGGAGGCCACAGCGATGGGCATGAACAAATACCCGCTGACCGCATCCGGCAGAGCTTCGCCCCCACTCGTCACGTCCTGCCGGCAAAGCTTCGCTGCCTAAGCAGGGACGTCAGTAGCAGAGTTGGAGGCGGTCAGGTGGAGACGCACTTCAGATATCACCTTCGAAAGCTGGAAAAATGTCCAGAATTGCATGTGGATGACTGCAAGAAAATGCGGACACAAGTTCCAGAAACACTATGACTATGACCGATCCATATATATATATATTTACTTGGGGTCATCATGTGTTTGCATACAGTGTGTCTTTGGCACAGCGCAACACACAGTCTCATAGACCCATATATATATATATACTTGAGAGAGGAGGGGGTGAACGAAAGGTAGCAGACAATCACAGGTAACCTTGGTAGAAGTCCATGACGGCGTGAACCGGCGCAGGGAGGATTTGATCCAGGGGGGCCCCCCCCCCCCGACGAACAGAATCAACTCTTACAGGACCAAACTCAATGCACAATCCCAACTCCTGATTGTAATACATTTTTGCTAAAGCAAGGAGAACTCAGGTAGCTCAAGCTACCTTTCGTGATAACTAACGCCTTCCACAACTATTCCACCCTTATGTCTGGCAGGGCGTTGGGCGGAAGCGAAGAAGTTGGGCGGAAGTTGGGCGCTGCGGTTCCCCCATGTTCGGGTCGCCGGTTTTTCAGATCTGTTCACTGAAACAAGCTGGGTATCTTTGGTGGGTAACGAATGCGGCAACTCTTGATGTTGAGGCTACAAGAGTATTGCCAACCCCTTGAGATTGAGAACAACTGGTCAAGCGTTCTTTTGACCAATGTCCCGAAAAGCTTGAAGGTCATCCACTGACTGGGTAGCTGTAACTCCTAAATCAGCTAATTGATCACTGGCCTTTCAAAAGAACCTGTTCACCTGCTGCGGGCTAGCCACGTAGTAAATGGACACTGGGAGCTTCGCAAAAATGGCCTCCTTGATCAGCAAGCGGACCTTGGCCATCGTGCAGAGCACAACTCTCTGATCAATCAGCTTTCCGAGCAGGAAGGACTCCTGGCTCTCGTGGCTGCCGGCCTGTCATCACCGGCCTGTTTCCATGGCTGCCAAGGGGCCAAGAAGAAGCGGCCAAAAAAGAGCTGGGCACCAATGACATGTGCCCAATTCAGTGGCAAAGGCATCGTCAATCTGTACCTCCACATGCCACCGGGCCCCCGGGCCCGGGAATCTGGGTTTGCCGGGTTGGGTGGGGGAGGTTCTTTTCTGACACTAGGACCTCTAGGATAGTCAATCACCTATCCGTCTATGGGTCTATCCTATCACCAGTAACAGGGGATGATGATGGTTCGGAAAGGCCTCGTGCCAAAAAGAGTGCTTATCTCATTGTTTATACGACTGTTGCAGGGAATAGGACAGACCGGACAGACCCAATCACTCACCATCTTCAGATGGAACGAATGACTTCGTTCCTCGTCGAACCGGATGAAGCGCGAGACATCGAGAAGGGCAGACTGGCAGACAGCAGTGGAGTGGCAGACATTGCTTCAGGACACGAGAAATGGATGGAAAAAACAACATCCGAGATGCATTTACAATCATATAAGTTATCATAAGTTTACATATACCATCTCTCTTAACATGCCAAGAATCTCTTGCACCATTCTGTGAATCGATTCACGATCTTGATGCTTTTGGCCCATCCGCTCCACCCGTCAGACCCCTCGGACAGCGCACAAGGACCGGAGCCAGTCCACCAGGCGACTCTCCGGCTGCGCCAGCAGCGCCACGGGCGCGAGGGCCAGTTCACCTGCTAAGGCGCGGACCAGGCGCACGCCCAAGGCCCAGCCGAAGCCTCGGAAGGACCGGGTGGATGAGGAAAGACCAGGACCGAAGGACCACCGCAGATGTTTTCTTTTTAGAGCCCGTGGCCCTGCCTCCTCAGTTCCTCAAGTAGGCGCCGACTGAATTGAGCAAGGGCGACGAGTGACTAGTTCGCCACTAGGAAGCTCCTAGTAACTGGACACAGGATAGCTCACGCTACTGATTTGGAACCCAGATTTTGAGGGAAACGAAAGCGATATCTTTTGGATGGGGGAGACCGTCCTCGAGTGGGAGACGCCAAGTGAAGCAGTGGAGGGCGGCATGGGCAGCCAAGAGAAGGACGGTTCTTCTGCACTCTCTCAGACACAAACAGGGCAGAGCGACGGTGGTGCGTTCGAGAAAAAATTTTAAAAAAAAAAAACGCAATGGGTGCAAGTAAACCAGGAGTTGGCTGGCAGGTGTCCTGCCATCTTCTAGGAAACATAAGAACGACTATCCTGCCTACCCTTCCAAACGAACAGGGCCAAAAAGCTGCTGTCTCCCAAGCTTGGTGATGCCACACACCCTACAGTCGAATGAACCTGAATGAACCGTCTACATTGGTCCTATTTGGTCGGGAAGATTCAGCCGCTCTTCACTCCAGTCGCCCTTTCTTCGGACGAAGGTGCGCCCAAAGGACAGCCCAGCACACATGCCAAGGATGCTACCCACCTCGAGGAACCGCGCGGGAGAGGACGGGAGGCGATTCGATGGACCGCGTTCCAAAACCGATGGGATTCGATGGGGAGTGTATTGGAACAGGGAGGCGGCCAGAGATCTCCTGGAACAAATACACACCCCCTGTCTCTTGTGATTGGTGTCTTCATCCACCCGCTGAACTTACTGAACTTGCTGAACGAAGGCATCTGAAAGCACTCTTCCCCTTTTTGGGGGCGCAGGTCACATTGGTGGTAAAAGCCAAGAAGATGAAGAGAATAGTGACCAGCAAACCATTGCACACACATGGTCACATCCCTGAAAGCAAAAAGTCTCATTCCTATCAACAAGCGTAGAAACACAGCCAAGAACCACACCCAAGTCCCCAATCTTCCCCCAATCCCATCTTCGTCCACAAAGAAGACCTACAAACACACTCCCACACCCCACAACCACCCCATCCTTGTCCGCGTCGGCCCCGCCCTCCCTCCGCCGCGGCACACGGTGCACCTGACGGGAGGTCTCGTCCCGCGGCTCGTACTCCGGCAGCACCGAGCGCAGGGAGAACAGGGCGCCTTGGGGAAGAAGGAACGCCAATAGATGCCCTTGGTTTCAGTGCCCCAAGGAGCGATGCCCTTGGTGATTTCCTCGTGGCGTCCGAAATCGCTCGTAGCGTCCGGACGCTACTAGTAGGGATGCCCTTGTTACTGATTAGTGCCAATTAGTGCCAATAATTGATCCACTCCTCTTCGTGCAAGATCTAGAAACACAAGTTCTGTGAAAGAAAGATGAAAAAGGCAAACCCCAAGTTCATCCCCAAAGACACGGTGTCTTTCCCTCTGTTTCACGCTTTTTCGCCAGACACCTGCGGCCATCCGCGCGCAGCCTTGGGCACTCTGGCGATCCTTCTTCTCCAAGTTCTCCCAGAAGCTTCGCTGCTCAGAGCTTGCGAGGCGCGAGGCGTTCGGCGCCGGAGGCACCTGGAGAGTGCACCACCCGTGCGGCAGGTAGCCTGGAAGCCGAAGCGGAGCCCCGGAGGCGAAGCTGCTTCAGTTCGCTCCAACGGCGAAGGATTTGCCATGGTTTTGGGAGGGGCATAAAGAGGATAGCTGGGGGGGAAACCGGGAGGTCTTTTCTTCCAGCCTCTTTGGGATGTTGGATTGGAAAGTCAGGAAGGTCTCAACATGAAGGTCTATACAACATGGGGCGTTCAGAATCCAGCTTTTGGAGATGTTCAGGCGAGCACGCAGAGGTTTGGCTGGATGGAATTTCGGAGGGTACACGGCTCATTTTGGAACCTAGAAACGGCTCATTTTGGAACCTGGCTCATTTTGGAACCCAGACGAAAAGAAAACTCTCCGGGACTGCAGCGTGAGACCAATTTCGCGGCTCATTTTGGAACACGCATCATTCGGTAGTGCTTCGAAGGTAGCATTTGCTGTAAAAATGAGTTTTCGTACGAGACTTCCTCCAAAAGTGAGCCGCGGAAGTCTCCAGAACGAGCGTATCGTACGAGACTTCCTCCAAAAGTGAGCCGCGGAAGTCTCCAGAACGAGCGTTTCGTGCAAGACTTCCTTCAAAAGTGAGCCGCGGAAGTCTCCAGAACGAGCGTTTTGTACGAGACTTCCTTCAAAAGTGAGCCGCGCAAGTGTCTAGAGAGAGAGAGAGAGAGAGACAGAGAGAGAGAGAGAGAGACAGCGCGCGTTTCGCACGAGACTTCTTTCCAAGGGGAGCCGCGGAAGTCTCCAGAACGAGCGTTTTGTGCCAGACTTCCTTCAAAAGTGAGCCGCGGAAGTCTCCAGAACGAGCGCTTTGGGCGAGACGTCTTTCAAAAGTGAGCCGCGGAAGTCTCCAGAACGAGCGTTTTGCACCACGCATTATCATATGATACGCACGATCCTCGCAGAGGGTCGCTCCAGGTCAAACGCGTCAAACGCGATCGACGTTTCACTACACGTTTGAACACTTGGCACGCGCGATCCTCGTAGAGGATCTGTTTTTGTTTTGCTTAGGGTTTCGCTCCTTTAGGTTTTCTTTTGCTTCTTTAGGATGTTTTTGTGCTGGAATTAGGCCTTCACGTGAGGGCTCCTTTAGGATGTCTTGGGTTTCACTTAGGGCTTCACTTCTTTAGGGTCTCTGGTTGGTTGCGCTTAGGGCTTTGCTGCTTTAGGATGTCTTTCGTTTTCACTTAGGGCTTCACTTCTTCAGGATGTCTTTGGGTTTGACTCAGGGATTCACTTCTTTAGGGCCTGGTTTGGTTTTGCTTATAGGGCTTCCCTCCATTAGGATGTCTTGGGTTTCACTTAGGGCTTCGCTTCTTTAGGGTTTCTGGCTGGTTTGCCATAGGACTTTGCTGTTTTAGGATGTCTTTCGTTGTGACTTAGAGCTTTACTTCTTGAGGGTCTCTTTTGGCCTGCCTTATCGCTTCACTTCTTTAGGATGTCTTTGGCACAAATCTCTTGCTCAACATTTTGTGTTTTGCGCACATGGTCGTGGTAATTACGCGCTTTGGCGAAGCTGGGTTTGGTTTTGCTCAGGGCTTTGCTCTTTTAGGGTTTCGTTTGGTTTGCCTTAGGGGCTTGCTTCTTTAAGATGTTTTTGCGTTGGCATTAGGGCTTCAGTGGAGAGGGGCTTAGGGCTTCACTTCTTTAGTCTTTTTTTCTTTTGCTTCAGGCTTCACTCCTTTAGGGTTTCATGTGGTTGGGCTTCCGGCTTTGCGTCTCTAGGATGTCTTTGGGTCGGATAAGCCTTTACTTCTTTCGGGTCTCTTTTGGTTTTGCTTCGGGCCTCGCTCCTTTAGGGTTTCTTTGGTCTTAGCTTAGGGCTTCACTTCTTGAGGATGTCTTTTGATTTGACTCAGGGCTTCACTTCTTCAGGATCTGTTTTTTTTGCGTAGGGTTTCGATCCTTTAGGTTTTCTTTTGCTTCTTTAGGATGTCTTTGGGTTGGACTTAGGCCTTCACGTGAGGGCTCCTTTGGGATGTCTTGGGTTACACTTAGGGCTTCACTTCTTCAGGGGGGGTTGGTTTGCCTTAGGGCTTTGCTCTTTAGGATGTCTTTCGGTTTCACTGAGGGCTGCAGTTCTTTAGGATGTCTGTGGGTTTGACTCAAGGCTTCACTTCTTTAGGGTTTGGTTTGGTTTTGCTTAGGGTTTCGCTCCTGTAGGGCCACGGTTTCTTTTGGCTTGGCTTAGGGCCTTGCTTCTTTACGATGCCTGTGGGTTAGACTTAGGCCTTCACCACCACCCCCTCAAAAAAAAGAACGCTTCTCAGAAACCAGTCCCCAGCAACCACTTCCCAGAAACCAGTCACCAGAAACCAGTCTCCAGAAACCACTTCCCAGAAAAACCACTTCCCAAAAACCACTGCCCAGAAACCACTTCCGAGAAACCAGCCCCCAGAAACCACTTCCCAGAAACCAGCCCCCAGAAACCACTCCCCAGAAACCACTTCCCGGAAACCACTTCCCGGAAACCACTTCCCGGAAACCACTTCCCAGAAACCACTTGCCAGAAACCACTTGCCAGAAACCACTTCCCAGAAACCACTTCCCAGAAACCAGCCCCCAAAAAGCACTTCCCAGAAACCACTTCCCAGAAACCAGCCCCCAGAAACCACTTCCCAGAAACCACTTCCCAGAAACCACTTCCCAGAAACCAGCGTCCAGAAACCACTTTCCAGAAACCACTTGCCAGAAACCACTTCCCAGAAACCACTGCCCAGAAACCACTTCCCAGAAACCACTTCCCAGAAACCACTTCCTAGCCTCGGGAGACCATATCACCCGCGTTCCGAAACAAGGCGAATCCAGGGTCCGAAACGAGACGAATCCAGGTTCCGAAACGAGACGAATCCAGGTTCCGAAACGAGGCGTCGGCCATTTCGGAGTGCATAAACCGTGAAACGCTCGATGGAATTTCGTGATCCTTTGAACCTCCTAAACACTATGGAACGAGGAATTATACCTCCCTGGCCAGGAAAACTGGTTCACCTCAACCCTTCCAAACACCACGAAAGACATTCCCTTTCTTTTCTGCTACTCCCACTCAGGATCCGCCCCCCACTCCGCTCGGCTCCGCTCCGACCGCTTTTTCGGCGCTCCTGGATGTTCCTTCAGAAAGGCCTCCACCGCCGCGCGCACCGCGCGGTTCGGGTGCAGGGCGCCGCCGTCCGGTTCTGGGAGCCTCGGCACCGTGGCAGTCTGCGGTCTGCGGTGGTGGTGCCAAGGGGCGGGCATGACATGCGGTGAAGACTGCGACTGCTTGGTATGATCTCATTTTACTCCCACTCTAGTTGGCTTGAAGAGTCAGCCTTTTTCAGGTAGTGACACCTCCCACTCCTGCCACTACGCTTGAAGAGGTGAATACTGAAATAGGGTGCCCCTTTTACTAAAAAGATGGTCCTTTTGGTCAGGGGTCCCAAGTTGGAGGTCATAACTGGTCATCAAATGACCTGGGGTGACGTAACTTGCGCCATGATCCTGCAAGTGGTCTGCATCGTTACCTATTAACTCGAGTGGTCCAGGTTTGGGTGTCAACAAACCCTTCGGGCTTGACCCTTCGACCTGTAGCTGAGTGACCCTTCGATACCTGCGGCGCAAGTGATCTGCTTCAACTAAATCAATTGTTAGCCGTTTTTCACTCGACCCCGCCAAATTAGCCGCTAAATGCAGGACGGCTAGCCGCACCGAATTCCTCCACTTCTCTTCATGTACGCCCCACTACTAGCCGCACTGGCCTATCTATCCTTGCAACGGAAGTGGACAGTTGCCCCTGGAAAGACTCTTTCCCTCTACGGAGGGTTGTCCACAACCATGTTTGCGTGTCACGCCCCATCACCGCCGTATGCTTTTGTCGTTTTTGGGCAATTGCTCCCAATTTCGTGCGATCTATGTGCTGTGTTTTCTGATGTCCGCAGCGCCGGGCCACTGGGGCAAAAATAATATGCAGCATGCATTTCAATGTTAGCGGGTTGACAACCGCGCTAGTAGTTGTGCACTTTTTGATCAAACCACGGAGAGCTTGTCTGATGTCGTTGCATGTAAGATGAGCCTTTACATGTTCACTAACAGCATTTGTTACGTTTAATCAGGGCAACATGTTTCTTCTTCGTACGTGTTCACAGTTTCTTTTTGTCTGTTTGGCCGAGAATTTCCTTTCGTTTCGGAATTGTTGCACTCCTCGGTGGTAATGTGTTGGATATGCTTGGAAGATGATGCCACCTGCGTACGCACTTTGGAAAAAAGTGGCTTCCTCTCTTGAAACTCATGGAAATAGTGTGTCGCCGTCCTTGGCCTCAAATTACCTTTTTTCAAGACCAACAAAAACACATGGTGTATTAAAAAAAAGCCTCCATCCTTGTAGAAGGGAGACCATCAATTGCCCCACCGTTTCACCCCTCTCTTGAGGTCCCAGGCCACCGGGACCCGGGACAGGCCCGGGACAGGTGTTCATCGCTCGTTTCATCGCTCGCCAGGGCGCGGGAGGTTGGTGAGGGGATCCACCAGGCGATGCTGGAGAGCCTTGCTGTACATCTCCCGCTCGTAGGTGTTGCCGAATAAGTTCACCACTGGCTCGCGGAACATCACCTGGGAGGGTTTACGGAAGAAGTCACGTGGCGTACATCTTCCGAGGTCGCCGAAGGCCTGTTTCGGAAACTCTTTGTGAGTGAGATTCCACCGGATTCCTAGAGGGAGAAAGAACTCTCGGATGAAGAAGTTTCCATAGGGCCCAGGTCTGAAGCTTGGCAAGGCTTTCGCGCAACTCGTGCAGCGTGACTCATGCAGGCTACGCTGGGAAGCATCCGGTGGGGAACGATTCCCTGCGGTGTTCAACAAATCCACCCTCCACAAAGGCAGGTTCTGCTTGGCTTCTTCAGTGCCTACTATTGACGATTGGAGCCAACATGTTGCTCAGCATCCTGCTCAGCTCTGCTCATCCCCAATTCACCTTCGCCTGTTGTTGAGCGAATCTCTTTCTTCACCGTGAATCTCTGTGACGTTCTAACAGTCAAATGGCTAACAAAACTACACTAGAAACAGCCATATGACCTAAACGGTTGTTTTCTTCTCTTTTATATAACAGTCAAATGACTTAAGACATCCTTTTCACATGCATGAAACCGTTTCATCCGGGGGATCCACATGGACCCCCCTTGTCTTCACTGCGGATGTCTGTCAAGGACTCATCCCGCCCCAACCAGGCCACTCCCGTCAACGGGCATGTGAGCCATTCAGGCTCCGGCAGCTCAATGAGACCCACGACCGGCTCCATGGCACTGGAGAGCGCGGGGTCTCGCGCGAGAGAGAGCACGGCACGGAGGGATCGTGGAATGGGGGATTGAAAACTGATGTTGCAGCATATACACATGTTATTGCAGGGGTATGGAACAGAACAAGTGTTGTCCGTGTGGTTGTTCAAGATTGCGAATCTCCCCTTGGTGAATTTGAGGTGCTATGCATGTCATCTGAGAATCCAGAAAAACAGATAAATCAAAGGCCTTCATCATCCTGTTCTTGAGAAAGCTAACTTCAGTTGACCCTAGTTCTCATGCTCCCACCGGTCTGTTTAGGAGTAGTGGGGAATAGTGGAACCAGGTGGAACCAGTTTTTGATGTGCTGGGCCGCACCAGCCGTCCAAAGCTTCGGACCGCTAAGAGGAACGGAATGAACGCCCGTGAATGAAGGAAGATACGGAAGGATCTCCGATGAAGATCCGGGGTGGGTCAGACCCCCAGAATGCAAATTGTTCCTGCACAAGAGGAACGGAATGAACGCCCCCTTACAGCTATCTCAATGAAAGAAGGATCTCCAATGCTTCGGAAGACACTACGGCCAGCCCGTGACCTTCGGCCAGGGTGACGGGGTTTTGGCACTCGAGCCGACAGGGCGGGCCAGTTCCCCAAACAGTGCCCGCAAGATGCGGGCAGCAAGCAGCTCAGCCCGGAAATAGGGGGGGGCCTTTTGGAAGCAAACAGACTTCCGCGAAATCACCATCCTTTGACTGAGCAATCAACTTCCAAATCCAATAAGCCCTTCTTGGACCAGGTGCTGAGTTGTTGTTTTCGGCATTTTCTGGGAGGTTCTTAGTTCTTTGAATGTTTCAATCAGGTTCAATAAGCTAGTCCATTTTCAGGTCCATTCTCAGCTCACATCATCTCACATCTCAGCTCCCCTGCATGGGACGGCTGCGGGCAAGGCCCGTAGCAGTGACTTGGGCAGCGACTGCGCCGACCCAGGCGCCTCAACCGGTCGACCCACGGAACAACGCAACGGGTGGAGACCCGGTCCACCGGACTAGTGGAGACCTGAAGGAAGGGGGGACGACCTCCCAAAAGGTCTGGACGAGTCCATGTGGATGTTCTGTTCCAAAGCTCTGTGAGGTTCTCATGAGCGAAGCGACCCTAGGCCACCTGAGGTTTGAAGAGACCCTGGGAAAAACCTCATTCTGGACGGTGCCTTTGGAAAAAAAGGGTCAGGCAAGGTGCTCTCAAAAAGGAAACCCTCACGTCCTTTTTAGGCCTCACTCACTGGATCTGGACCGAACACTAGCTGGATCTGGATGTGGAACTCTGAACCATGATTTAGCTTCTTGTTTCTAATAGCAAACATTGTTACTACTAGTAAGGCACCTGTTACTACTAGCGTGGCACTAACATGAATCCTGGCACCTCGCATCCCTCGAACATCGCCTCCCCCACCTCGACCTGCTCCACGTCCGTTCGCGCCGGCCTCAAAGCCTCCCAGCTCGCCGTGGAGCACCACCTGGATGGCGCCTCCTGGAAAAAGGACGTGGAGTCAAGGCCTGTATAAGGGGAGGGAGAGCTTTGGGAAGTGCTGGAACAAACCAACAAGGACCAGGTAGCTAGGGCAACGAGTCACCGAACCCCCTGCAACTCGCCCAAGGGTGCGGTGAATGATGCCAGGAAAAGTACCAATCTGCAACATCCACACAGTATGAGGTGCATTGAAGCATGATCCTAGCTTGATCATGCAAAGCTCCCATTGGAAGCATCTTTCAACCATAAATTAGTATTCCAACTGATTCCCTCCTTCAATATTCCTTTGGTGGAAAACCGCCTTCCATTGGTTCGCATGCCAACCACTTCCATGTTTGTTGGACAGAGGGCACACCATTGATGCTACTATGTAAAGCCTGCATCTCACGCTTCTTTTGCTGCTCGCGCCGCGCTTTGCTTCAGATCTGCCGCTCAACCAATGTCTCGGTGTCAAGAGCTTGAAAACCCATCTCCTCTGCAAAGTCCTGCATCAACTTGAGATAGTCCGCCTTCGACAGCTTGATCTTGCCGTCACTTTTCACCACGAAAAGCTCACCCATGCCTGACAGGCGGTCAAAGTCTGCTTCGGGGTGGGGCTCATATCTGAGGGTATACTGCTCTTCACCAATCCAGAATTCTGTGATTCCTTGGAATTGCGAGAGTGGTTGCTTGGGAGGCACAAACCCGATGTCCGCAGTGATGAGGGACCGATCGAAGAAAAGGTCATAGGGGTCCGTGTCACTGTTCTCGAAGAGCTTGCTGGTCAGAATGACGGAGCTGATCATCAAGTATCGTGAACCCTGTTCATCCATCGCCCAAGGATAAGGGACGTCACTGTTACCAACGGGCGAGACATACTTTGTGATGGGTGCTTTGGCTGTGAAGGAGAAGACGTGCTCCCCAACAAACACATACTTCAATCCCTCCAAGTGCAGCAACATGGAGTTTCCGTCAAAGCGAGCGCCATGCTTTGGGCACTGCCCGACAAAGACCCTCTCCACAGACAAGGTGACAGAGGCCTGCTCTTCGTAGTTGGGCATGTCCTGGTCTTCTTCATCTTCCTCACCATCCTCCTCTTCTTCTCCTTCGCCATCCGCCATCTTCAAGAAGAGCTTGTCCACCCCTAGCTCCTTGGCGAGGTCCCCGGCAGTTACTACTCGAACTCCTTCGACTCCTTCGACTCCTTCCTTTGACTCCTTCTGCCCTGCATCTTCCTGGTCCTTGCCGTCCTCGCCGTCCTCGCCGTCCTCGCCGTCCTCGCTCTCGCTTTGGTTGAGAATCTTGAAAACCTGAACGTTGGCCTTCGAAGAATTCGTCCGCGTCACTTCCACTTTGAAGGGACGACCACCGTTGTCATGAACAAAGTATGGACCCTCCGCCTGGCCACTTTTTGCATCGGTACCTTGCTGGTCGAATTGGTTGTTTCTCAAGATCAATTTTGGGATCCCTGTGCATTTTAACATATGTTTACATTTACATTAATGTATTCATGTAACAACTGGAAAAGATTGCATACGGCAGCTCAGGCACACACGGCAGGTTTCTTCTGGGCGGGTTCCTCTGCCGCATCTTCCGCAGGTCTCTTCATGTTGCACGGAGCGCCCACGAAGACGATGCCAAGCTAACTGCGTTGTTCTGGCAGTGCTGTTTGGGGACAAGCGGTTTGGAGCCAAGCTGTGGCAGAGGCACAGTTGTGGCAAAGTTGTGGCGAACAAAGTTCCAGCAATTTGGGAGAACTCCAAGCACCATAATGAGCCTCACAAAGCCTGTTTTCCATGTTGGTTTCCCTCACGAGGGTTCAACCTAATCTATCAAAGAATTCCTATAGCCCACGCCCCTTCACTCCTGACATCACTTCGCCCGGCACCAGTTGGCGCAGCTGGGCACCCGCTGATAGGAAGGGCCTCTGAAGCCGAGGCAGCAGCTGGAACAAAGGCCTTCCGAGCAGGGAAAACCACCGAGTCGGCATGCGGTGGCGGCACAGTGCACCATGGGGCAGTGCAAGGCCAAGAATGAAATTAGATGATTCGCTTTTGTGGCACCATCCTTTCCATGGAAATCTCAGCAAGACGAAGACGGACATCCTAGTTTTAGCTAACGGTCCCAATAGAGACGCGAGGGAAAGATTGTGAATGTTGAAAAGTTCGTGTGGTATTTACCCGCTGGGGTGAGCGTTAACTCCGCAAAGTATTTTTTTGGTGGTTTGTACGTTGTCATCGGCTTCAGAAGATAGTCCTCCATTTCGTAACAGTATCATCGATTGCACAACATTGTGAACAATATAAAAATGTTTGTGGTGTGGGCGGGGTGGGGAGATCCTGACGTTCGATTGGAAGTGCGATGAAGCTACATGCACACACGTTCAACGCGTCGACACGCGCATCGGCTGATGCGAAGCTCCGCTTCACGTAGCTGTAGCAAATGGAGAGTAGTCAGACTTCCTTTCTTCATGTTTTGGATGATCTTTGTATTTGTTGCAGGTGATGACATGTTCGGATTCTGACAGTGTTATTCCATTCTACATTAATGTTGGAGCCTGATTAGTAAATAGGTCCTCTATAATGCTAAATTTTTCCAAATCTATTCAGACCCCCCTGTTTGAAAAATGGTACCTCTATAATGCTAAATCTTTTTTGGGCCCTAAATGTTTAAATTGGAAACCCAATTAATAAGGGTGTGAATTCCTTCTGAACCCTGTCCACCTGCACTCCCCCCCTCCCTTCCCAGGCAAGCAGCCAGCAGCAAAGCAAAACACAAACAAACAGACCACCAACAATCAATTACAAAAAGGAATTCTCACAGGAATCCAGATTTGTTTTGGTGATAGTTTATTATAGAGGACCCCCTGTTTGTTTGAGGGGGGGGGGCCTATTTACTAATCAGGATCGCACATTATTGTTGAAAGTAAAACACTCAGTAACAATTTCAGTAGCAGAACCGACGCTTCGGAGTGTGTTGACAAAGTACCGCTCCCATGGCGACGCAACCATCTATATACATAGGGTGCTTAAATTCCCCTGCGTCGCTATGGGGACCGTTACCTACTTTTTGTTTTGTCTGTTCTTTGGGGGGCAGATACTGCCTTCAAGGTTTGGCACTTCTTTCAAGCTTTGCATTGCTAGTCACCGTTTTGATGGGGCATTGACTCATCTGGCTACAGGATCTACACTCAACGCGAGCGCAAGGGACAGTTAAGAAGCGGGACTCCTAGCAAGTCATACGGGAGAAGAGATGGTCATTGACCACTTGGTGTGAAAGGGGGGGGTGTTCAGGTCGTTCTGCTACCCCCACGAATTCCTAGGCAATGCGGTTGTGGATGGATACTGGATGCCGTTTGTCTTCAAGTGTTCCCAAGCCAAGGTCATAGCAATCGTCGTAAAAACTGTTTGCCACAGAACCAGCCCTCATGTGCCAAGCTCACTTGGAGATTGGCCAATTTGGAGGATAAATCTTCGAAAAGCTCCAGAAGAAAGCTGCTCCTTTTTAAGGCTGGCCTTCCTCAGGGCTGTTCTGCGCACCATCTGTTCGCACCCTTGAGGAAAACGCGAACGTCCGCCTTCCGAGACAACCGGCACGACGTGGATTCCCCGTCAGTGGATTCCCCGTTGACGACCGACGGCCTGAGCTCTCCACAGATGCCTGCGCCGCGAGCTCAGCTTTGAGGGGAGGTGCAAAGGCCACGACCGTTTTTCTTGGCTCAAGTCGGACAGGCGGACAGTGTGAGTAGCTTGAGAAACATATTATATACATCTTGTCCGGAATCAATAGGTTCAATAGTGCACTTCACTCATGAAGGAACCAGACCTACCACTGCCAGTTGCTCGTTTGCTCATCTCGACAAAGGGAAAGGAGCTGTCCCCTGCTCTTCCTCGTCTCTCAAATAAGACCCAGTAAAACAATATGTCACCATTGACTGATCTTGTCTGCAAACCAATCGGGTTTTAGACACTTAGAGCATTGGTCGTACAAAAAGGACCCCGAAGAAACGCTCGCGAGTGGAAATTGCGCGTGTCATGATTGAATCTTCTTGCACTTCAAAGATCAAATCCAGCTGGGATATGATTCCTGAACACCCTCTCCCCATCAAGACAACATCCAGAAACCCCCATCAAGCAGTTCATCCCCGCCCCAACTGCTCAACTGTCAAAGGTCATCCAGCCAAAAGAGCCCCACCAGAAGTGGCCGGGATTTGAACTGTGGGATTTGGTGAGAAACGAGGTCAGGCTCCTGAAGTGCTGGATTCTGTTTAACCTACTGGTATTGTAGCTTGGCTTCATTCTCCCTTGCTTATCACACAAGGCTGATACTTAAGCCTTTAACTTACCAGGAACACCACAAAGTAGAAAGCTGATTTCCATGTTGGGTCGCGAAGCAAACCAACGTCCAAAATGTGATCCAGAGACCAGTGGGCTCAAACGGAATCTTGAATCAAGAAAAAGGAACACCCAGATGCGCTACAATCTACTAGTTGGGCTGCAATGTTCCTATCTCCTCAAATCACTGAATTAAAATAAGCGGTCATCCAACTTCGACGCCTGCCTGGGAGCAAGATGCGCATCATTGCCCCGGACCAGTCCATGATCGCCTCAACAAAAGAAGGATCATGTAGACTAATGTAGACTATTGATTGTATTCAACTGTATAATAATCCAAATCGGGGGGTCTTTCATGGACAGTCACGTTGCAGTATCTGAAAAACTCGACACGGACATGGACAGTGGATTCCATTGCAATAAGGGCAAAATTAACGCAGCGTAGACCTGGCTACAGACCTCGTGATTGGGATGAACACGAGACCCGCGGTACGCCGTTGCTCCAGCAAGACCGGAGGGATCACATTTGATTTCCAGATGTTCGGGGCAAATTCCAGGTGTTGCCAAGGGTTCCTAGACATGTGACTGGGCCGATTTTTCGCTGAGCTGCTGTGTGAGCCAGGTGCAGCCCCACCTCCTCTTCCGCCTGGCAACTCTCCGAGTCGACGTAGAAACGATCTCTCTTCCGACAGAGTACAAGTAGCACGAATGCAACCGAAGAAAACCAAACATCTTCTGACAATTCGCTCCGACCTCGCGGCAAAGCACTCCTGGAATGACTATACATCTGACAATGTGAATCATAGTTATACGACATACTGCACTGCTGGTCAGAAGCATAGCCATTACCCTACTGACTCCTACAGTAGTGCTTTTGAATGGCGAAGTGGCTCCTTCCGAACCCGAAAACCTCTCCTCCAACCCAAAAGCCTCTTCAAACCCCAACCCCTCGGCGCTCTCCGCTCCGCCGGTGGCCTGCAGCTCGCAACTCTCCACACGCATCAAGGTCTCGCTCCGACCTCGCGGTCGAAGGGTTCGAAAAACCCCCGAGGAGCAGAGGTGCCCAAGCGACGCTGGACACTTGACACACCCGGTCCTCTCCATTGGTGGGAGGAAAGACCAAAAGGAGGACTACACCGGAGCCAATGTGAAGGTGAGAAATCTCGACAAACACCTGGACACCTCTCCGTAGGGTTTTTTCCCGATCCGGGCGCCTCGTGGTCCATGCGGCGGGATCCGTCAAACCCCAAGGCCCCCTTTGGACACACCTTAAGTACTGACATGATGTTAAACCGGGGAAACTGCTTGTGTTGCAGGCCTGACAGTGGCATGTTTCCTGGAAACTGAAAACCCGTGGATTGTAGAGGAAATAGTCTTCCAATGGTCCATTTTCAGGTTTCATGTGGGTCTCTTCCCGGGAAAGAAACACATGCGCAGGACATGCCCAGTCTGGGTAGGGACTGATTTGAGGAGTTAGAAAGAATTTCACTTCAGAGGTAATTGTTTCCATCCGTCCTTGGTCCAACATAGGGTGTGAAAAGAATTACATCAAGAGTTAATCTTCTTTATTAGGTCACACGTAGTGATCTGAAGAATTAACCCTCAATTTAACTATGTTCAAAGTCTGTTTAAAATCCTCTTGGGGGACTAGGAAAGTAGACAGGTTTATACCAGGGAGAGAACACTGGCTCAGTGACACCATTGTTTGGGACACAGAACAAAGAATTAACTGTAACTCTAGATTTATTGGTTTTCAAAGTCGGTTTAAAGTGTTCTTGGGAGACTAGGAAACTACAGAGGTTTACGCCAGAGAATGAACAGTGTCTCAGTGACACTACAGTCTGGGACACAGAAAACAAGAATTAACACTGGATATAAGTCGTTTCAAAGTCTGCTTAAATTCCTCTTGGGAGACTAGGAGTGTAGACAGGTGTACACCAGGGAGAGAACACTGGCTCAGTGACACTAGATTTTGGGGCACAAAGAAGAAGAATTAACTCCGGATTTAGCTATTTTCAAAGTCTGGTTAAAATTCCTCTTGGGAGACTAGGAAACTAGAAGGGTATACTATACACCAGGGAGAGAACAGTGGAGATAATTCCTCAAGCGACCATGCCAGAAATGAAGAGATTTACAGTAAATCAGAAGTTAGTTCCTCGAACGACCATGCGAGCATACCAGAACTGAAATGAAAAGAAATAAATCAGGAGGCAATTCTTCTTAATGTAGACTCTTGATTAATAAACCCCCCATATAAAGAGGATGTTCAATTCAAATTGGGGGGGTGTATTAATCAAGAGTCTACATTACTCTGGAAAGTATTCCTTTTCCCCAGTCTGCCTGAGCGAAAGCTGCAGCTACCTGCCGCGGTAGCGTGTCGCACGTTCGCACAGTCAAAGGGCGGTCGTGGGCAACTACTCGATGAGCCACTACTCGATAGCAATGTCCATCGATAGCTTCGAAAGGAACTTTGCTTGTCCATTATGTGACTCAGATGACAGATCCCCAAGAAAAGAATGTCTCAACAGGGACTAGAGGAGCATCCCCTGAGATGTTGCCAAGAGAAAGTACAGTATATTTCTGTCCACTAGCCATGGAGCCACCCGTTGTGAAGTTCTCTTCCAGCCTATCATCAACTCATCGACCAGTCAAAAGAGATAAACCATGGTTAACCAATGGTGTCAACCAAATCGCAGAAATGGATCCAAGGGGCAGCGCCTCAAATGGACTTCTCCGTCAGTTCTAGTCGGCTCCATTGGGATGGCCAGACCCCCTGTTCCCTCGCCCTGATCGGGTACAGGGCGGACACCAGGCGTCGACCTGGACCCCATGGAGCGCCCCGTTCGGTTCGCGTCCTTACTACCTTAATCGCATGTCTTGGAGTGTCACCCAGAAGCGCAAGCTCCTGGCGCCTGCAGTGAAGGCCTGAAGAGTCGATCAAGCGATCAGGGGGGCACGCAACAGGAATTGCGGGACCATGCCCAAGCCTGACATGCATGGCATGTCAGGAAGGGCATCTTCCGATGGCCAGAATGAATTCCACCCCAACACAGCACAAGAGAGACCTTTTTTCCAAGGACGCTACTAGGGGCTCCTGGACGCGCTGCTAGGAGCAAGGACGCTACTAGGGGCTCCCGGCATCGCTAGGAGCAA